TTCTTCAAATGCCTTGCGGCCATATGAACCGAATGATGAGGGTCTAAGCCGGGGTTTGGCCCCATACGGTTCGTACATGTGTTGTATGGGCCTCAAGACGTAGACCGGGACCCTGCGTACTGTGCGTAGACCCCGGTCAGGCCCTGGTTGCAGTCAGCAGCAATGTGTTTTCATACCGTGCTGCTTTTGTGATGTGCTATCATCATCATCAAGAGTTCATAGCCCCCTGGGGGTTATGAACTCTTGTCATCATTCTACATGTACCTGGATAGCAGGGAGTAGTAAAATACCGGTATTTTACTACTCCCTGTTGGATAGAGATTGCACAAGGTCACGCAGTTGCACACCAAGTTGAGGGATATCCAATATTGCCACCAGAGAGTACACTCGTACCTCGTTTATCCGGGCGGTCCGGAACCGGGCACTGGCCGTAATTTAGAAATGTCCGTAGCTCCAAATCACGTACATTTTGATGGAGAAAGGAAGGCCATAGATAAGGCATACCGTATTATCTCTAATACGGTAATATAATGATGTCACCATTCGTGGTTGGTTTCACCCTCACTTCCTTGTACTTCAAAAGTACCGTAAAATCCCGCCAGAGCGCCCCTACCTCCTCGACGCTTCAGGTAGGGAGGGGCGGATGGGCGAGTCCTACTTACCGCATTCAGTACTACATGAAAAAGTACTCACCCTACGAAAACTATTCGTGCATCTCGTACACCGACCAAAGGTCAAGAGCTAGGAGTCGTACAGACCCATCAAAACTCAGGGTTTGGGCGATCCCTGGTCAAGAGGGTGGGCACTGTTGCGTACATTTCCAACAGGGTCGAGCATGTGTCTGCAGTACAGTACGGCATCACAGAGTCATACGAGGATACGATCAATCACTTCCCTGACACGAAGTCAGGGAGGGGCGGATGGGAGAGACGGGGCGCTCTGGCGGGATTTTACGGTATTTACTATTTTTTCATTATGTGCCATAAAGTGCAGACAGTAATAATATTTTTCCATAAACAGTCACAAAAGAGTAGTATGTTTCCACTGAAACTCGCTCAAAGGGTGTCCGGTAGACCGAAGTGCCGGTAACTTCAGGGTCCGGATAACCGATGTATGAGTGTAGTACAATGCCCCAGGTATTTTACGACCACCTGTTTGCCACCATGCACAGCTAGCTGCAGGGTGCAAATAATGTGTACGGGTTCATCACGTGACGTGAAGTCCGGCCGTCGCAGACCCCCCCCCCCCCGAGGTATAGCTTGAAGTTGCACACTCTTGGCAGGCTGGGGACTTTGAGCCCTTTTAAAAGTTGTGTTTAACTAACACAATGTGACACAATGTGGTTCTATATTTCTACTGCATCCTCAACCCGTCAGCGCCATACCCTCCTAGCCGAACCAATGCACGAAGCATAAACAAACCCGCACAGCAAGGACACTTCCGTTGAGAGATACTTTATTTATTTATTCGCCTGCCGCAATATTTCACAATGTAGTTCTCTTGTGACAAAAGAGAAAGGCCAGTATGCGGTGGGCAAGGACACAAGCAGCAGAGACATGGCGACGTGACAGGCGGACAACAACAGTTTGCATTGGCTCACTGCGGCCCCTTTTTCTCTGCCGCCGCCGTCGTGGCCGCTTACACGGCATAATCACGATGTGCTCTGGATGGTATGTATGTATAGTAGAGTTGCGCGGTGAAGAACGTTGAGCCCAAGAACGTCCAGCCTGAAATGCTAAGAACGCCACATCCTAAAGTTAAGAACGGCTGTGTTGGCTTTCCGGGAGCTTATGGGATAGATATCATCCAGTACGAATTGTTTCTAAGAACGTGCTACAAGAACGCAGCCAGATTGCCCAACAAAAAAAAAGAACGCCCCAGGCTAACCCCTGGGAAACAACGTTCTTGGATGCGTGACTCTACTGTCAATGCAAACACTGCTCATCCGTTCGCACCCGCATGCAGTGAAACTTGTCGAAGCCGACCGCTCAAGGCACCTTACAAATGTGGCCTCCCTGAACATGTGGTCGCCTTATCCAGGGTTATTTGACTGTAAACACATCCTTTGTACCTAGTTGTAGCGGTCCCCTAGGGCAGGCGGTCGCCTTACCAGAGTGGTCCCCTAGGGCAGGCGGTCGCCTTACCAGAGTGGTCCCCTAGGGCAGGCGGGCGCCTTACCAGAGTGGTCCCCTAGGGCAGGTGGTCGCCTTACCAGAGTGGTCCCCTAGGGCAGGTGGTCGCCTAGGACTGGTGGTCGCCTTACCAGAGTGGTCCCTTAGGGCAGGTGGTCGCCTTACCAGAGTGGTCCCTTAGGGCAGGTGGTCGCCTTACCAGAGTGGTCCCTTAGGGCAGGTGGTCGCCTTACCAGAGTGGTCCCTTAGGGCAGGTGGTCGCCTTACCAGAGTGGTCCCTTAGGGCAGGTGGTCGCCTAGGACTGGTGGTCGCCTTACCAGAGTGGTCCCTTAGGGCAGGTGGTCGCCTTACCAGAGTGGTCCCTTAGGGCAGGTGGTCGCCTTACCAGAGTGGTCCCTTAGGGCAGGTGGTCGCCTTACCAGAGTGGTCCCTTAGGGCAGGTGGTCGCCTTACCAGAGTGGTCCCTTAGGGCAGGTGGTCGCCTTACCAGAGTGGTCCCTTAGGGCAGGTGGTCGCCTAGGACTGGTGGTCGCCTTACCAGAGTGGTCCCTTAGGGCAGGTGGTCGCCTTACCAGAGTGGTCCCTTAGGGCAGGTGGTCGCCTTACCAGAGTGGTCCCTTAGGGCAGGTGGTCGCCTTACCAGAGTGGTCCCTTAGGGCAGGTGGTCGCCTTACCAGAGTGGTCCCTTAGGGCAGGTGGTCGCCTTACCAGAGTGGTCCCTTAGGGCAGGTGGTCGCCTTACCAGAGTGGTCCCTTAGGGCAGGTGGTCGCCTTACCAGAGTGGTCCCTTAGGGCAGGTGGTCGCCTTACCAGAGTGGTCCCTTAGGGCAGGTGGTCGCCTTACCAGAGTGGTCCCTTAGGGCAGGTGGTCGCCTTACCAGAGTGGTCTCCTTGACAGGTGTTACTGTGCACGCATGCGCAAAAAAAGGACGCTGTACCGTGGCTACATGTATGACAGACGTACTTACCAGAGTGGTCTCCTTGACAGGTGTTACTGTGCACGCATGCGCAAAAAAAGGACGCTGTACCGTGGCTACATGTATGACAGACGTACTATGTCACACGGCGACACGTCTTACACCTCTACCATGATATTATTACTATCTGCATTGGGTACATGGAAGGAAGGACTGAAGCGTGAGAGGGTGAAAAGCATGAACTTGCAACAGTGAAGAACAGAACATGAACCATGAAGCCCAAAATGACATGTGTGTCAAACCCAGCACCATAACGGCACGGACTCTTGCATGGTAGTACCAAGAGTATAATTATAATAAGACTATACAAAAAGGATAGAATGGGTTACGGAGCTTGGGTTGGCTGTGACTCAGAGTTTCACGCCTGTGGCGATCATCAGACAGCAATGATTACAAAAACTCAATGAATGTTCTTGATATAGTGTGGTAAGGTGCTAGTGGTATCAGAGAATTTAAGCGCAAATACGGTCAAGCGGTGATTCTGAGCACCTTACCACACTATATCAAGAACATTCATTGAGTTTTTGTAATCATTGCTGTCTGATGATCGCCACAGGCGTGAAACTCTGAGTCACAGCCAACCCAAGCTCCGTATCCCATTCTATTCTTTTTTTTTGTATGAAGCTCTGCACCCCGGTGCATTGAGCACTCTTTCGAGGACCACACCCAACTTTCCGTGTGTAATAAGACTATACTCTTGCCTAATCTTGGTACTACCAAGAGTATAATACTCTTGGTACTACTGTACAAACAAGCCTCTTATACGGGCAAAGCAAATTTGCTTACATAATATTATGACAGAAAATCTCAATACCAAAAAAAAAAAAATTGGTACTGCGGTACAAGTATTGTACTACCCGATCCTACGCATACATCAGTGATTGTTTCTATTAAGCTTGTCCTTACCCAAAACTGGTGTCTTGGCCCGCCCTGGATATTGCTTCCTTCCAACTCGATGGCGCTCCTCCCCCGCTTCACCGCGGAACTCGTCTTGAACATCTCAATTTCAAAAGATCACTACTGATTTCGAGAAGAAAAACGTTTCCTGACCACCATAAGAAACTCTCTGCTGTTGCACGACATACCATATCTACTAAATTTAAATAAGCTTTCGCCAACATTGACCACAAAGACTTCTCATCACGAATGCGGCCAGACACTGGCTTCATTCATTTCTGTATTAATTACCAAAACAGTGGACCGAGAAAACAATGTAAATTTTATTTTACAAGTACTTTTACAGTAGTGGCAGCTGCGCAGACCCCATTCTACGTGCAAACTAACTAACTAACTAACTACTTGTTGGGAATGGACGAGAGTTCATTCTTATTTTCCCGTTGCCATCCTCCATCCGGATATGGATATCCATAGCGAAGAGTGCGCAATCCGGCAAATATGGCACATGATGTACTACCAGTAGTATAGTAGCATAAAATGTAGTACCAAATATGGCACATGATGTACTAGCAGTATACAATGTAGAGGTACTTCTGCAGTATACTTCCATCTTGATATCCACACTGGTGACTTCTTTGAAGGTGGCGCAGTTTATTTGCTAAATGGCATGAAGTGATTGTTCTAGACACTAGTACTGAATGAAAAAGTCACAGGCGATTGAAGCACACTATGCTTGAATGGGCAATCATGCAATTTCATTATCCGTATATGCAGCACAACGCCAGGCAGAGAGAGACACAGAGAGAGAGAGAGATAGAGAGACAGAAAAATATACAAAAAAGAGGCAGACACACAGAAGGAGAGATCAAGAGGCAGAGACAGACAGACCAGACACAGGCTCAGAGAGACAAGAACTCTCAAAAGAAAGCTGCAAACCACCGCACAAGTAGTTGGCTTGGAAGAAATCACCACTCAGATACAAGACTCAGGTAGTCGGTTGTGTTTTAGTGTATTTGACAACTCTCGCCACTTACACGAGACTGATTTATCGAGTTTTCCACAGCTGTGTATTGCGAGTATATAGACCCGCACACTAAACATTAGCAGGGAGGCATGGAAAAACTATGGAGAAGAACGAAGGAGCACGAACCAGCAGATTAGGAATGCACACGCAGAGCATCTGAACATTAGGATGATGATGATGTATGGCAGATAAATTTAAACATTCTACCTGAAAAGAAGCACGAGAAAAAAAAGCGCGCACACACAGACGACGGGAACAGAAAGACTAGCGTAGAGGATGATGTTCTATAAGAGAAGACATCCCTTCTTTTTAGTTGTCTTCACTGGCGGGTTGAGCACTGCACGGATGGCCTCTTCGAAGACCTGGACGCCGCAAACAGACGCAGAACACAGCATGAGAACAGAATAATGAGCGAGAGGACTATAGCGTGGTGATGTGGACTGTCTTGCGCAATATCGCGTAAGGGGCCGTACGTAAATATCGAACTTTTTTTCAAACAAATTATTTTAGTTTAGACCCAACCCCTCCCTCCCCCTCAGAACGTAAAAAATGTTGACGTTTTACATGCATATACAACAAAACCCGCAAGTGTGTAACTGCTCCTATTGCCATGCACATGTATCGAACTTTTCTGAAACGAAATTGGTCAACCCCTCCCACCCCATAACGAAATTATTTCATTTCGTGAAAAAAGTTCGATAATTATGGACGACCCCTAAGTAGGGTATGCATGTACGCTAGACACCTGTGCAGTGTTGTGCACGCATCAGTACAGTACAACATGCTCTGTGCGGTGTTATCAAACTGGTGGAGAAACTAGGCACCTGAATTACACCTACTAGAAGCACAGCTCATCAGGTCCACAGAAATGTGAACACACATAGAATCACATGTTACGAGTATACAGTACACAAGAGGCATGTATACTCCACTCTGCCAAGCAGCCAAAACGAAACCAATCAAGAGTACATAACCCAGAGTGAGCACCTCCGCAGAGCTCTTTTGAATTTAGGTCCGCTAGAAAGACCAGAATTTATTAACGCCAAACACCATAGCAACCAATGCGCCACTGCCTCCCTTCATTGCCCTGTTTGAACCGCTATGGTGAGGAGCACTGGATGGCTTGGTAATAGAACTGGACATGCCACCAGAAGCGGATGCCAAGGCTGTGCATACCACACTGGCACCACAAGCAACACTATGCACCCCGGGGACTGGCGCTCCTTGCGCAGAACCCTCGCCAAGAGAGCAAAGGATGGAAACGCATACAGGCATTGATCGGCCCATGACATCGCAAGAGCATCCACATCCAGCGCTCCTGGTTTGAGGCCCCAAGAGAAAGAACAAGCCAATTGGCACCACAGAACAAGCGCCCTTCAAATACAGTTTGACAAGCATCCCTCCTTGGCAACCACTACACATCTAGCAAGGCAAAGTTCTCATGATAATTATTGACCCCAAATATTACCTGAGCAGAGACAGGAAAAAATTCCTTGAAGGATAGGGGCAACCCAGACTGCACATGAACTGATCTCAATGTGATGTAACACAATGCATCATGTGATGCGCTTGTTTGGGTAGAAACTACTTCTTCCGGTAGATGCGTTCGGTTTTCCTACCCCAAACGATACCGTAAAAGCAGAAATTTTCGGTGGGGGAACTACCATCTTCCTGTCTGCTCATCATTGATGTGGTGGAGTTTGAATACTACTTCAATCCAAAAATACCCTTTTAAAACAACTTCCTCGACGTTACTAGGCCGCAGAAACTACATTTTTCCTTGCCCAATGACCAACTAGCCGAAAGGACTTCCCTAGAGACTCCCAGTCCATGAAATCTGAGACAGGCGTACCCTATAACAATGGTGCCTCAGAGTTCTTAACCCTCTATGCGCCATCTCTCTTTCTAGCTGATAAAGGGGAGCTTGCCCCATTCGCCGGACTACACATTTACAACACGAACGCTGAGAAAGCAAATCAGATGACTGCAGCATGGGAATCAGACTATCCATTCGACACTGCCAGCAAACACGCCCTACCTGGCTCTACTGCAGCTAGTGAGAAAACAATCTCCATCGACGTTAAAGGGGAAGTATACCCTAAAATCAAATTTTCACCAGTTGTAGTCTTCTGGGTGCTGAGTCGAATGGTCTTGGTCCGAGGAAGCTGCGACGCTCCCTTCCTACTTGAATCCCAATCGAACTCGCGCACTTCCACCGAAACTGGGTGACTGCGCCCTACTAGATGGGGATCTGTATGCAAAATGTCACTAAAAGCGCCATTTCGTTCTTATAAAAGCACGGATGACCGCGATTGGCCCATATGTTGTAGTCTTTTGGACGCTGAGTCGACTGGTTTTGGTCCGAAAAGGCTGCGATGCAGCGTTCCTCCTTTATTCCCAATCGAACATGGTTGAACAAGCGGTCACGTGCTCCTGGGTGCCCAAATCACCTGGTCACCGCGCCAGCAGGCGACAACTTTCACACCAAGGTTCAACTCGAGTGACAGGACTGCACCCAAAAAAGGTCAAACAGGCTAGTAAGTTGTACCCTGCAGGCACGGTGACCAGCTGACTGGTGTACGCAGGAGCACGTGACCGCTTCTTCAACCATGTTCGATTGGGAATAAAGGAGGAACGCTGCATCGCAGCCTTTTCGGACCAAAACCATTCGACTCAGCGTCCAAAAGACTAGAACATATGGGCCAATCGCGGTCATCCGTGCTTTTATAAGAACGAAATGGCGCTTTTAGTGACATTTTGCATACAAATCCCCATCTAGTAGGGCGCAGTCACCCAGTTTCGGTGGAAGTGCGCGAGTTCGATTGGGATTCAAGTAGGAAGGGAGCGTCTCAGCTTCCTCGGACCAAGACCATTCGACTCAGCACCCCGAAGACTACAACTGGTGAAAATTTGATCTTAGGGTATACTTCCCCTTTAATGCAAAGTGCATTCCCAACTGAAAAATAAAGTACAACTGGCTGTGCCTGTTCAGGTGGAACCCTACATACAATGAGAGGGTGCTTTCCGGAGTACTGCACTACAACGTTAGTGATATGAAGCTTGCTAAACTCGAACCCAGGTACGTGGCCCACTGCCTTGCTATCATTCTGCTAAGCAGGTCAAATATCTAAGTTGGCATATTTTTTATCCAGTCAGCCATCTATGGGGTAGTGTCCCTTGCACGAATTGCGATTCAGGTGGTAAACAAGCTTTTTAAAAGAGACTGCTGACGATTAGTAAAATTTGTAAAAAATAGAACCTCGGCCGAGCATAATATACTGTGATTGATCATAATGATCATGGTAGGTATCCAGACTGCGTTTACGTTGGCCTACTAACATCACGTGTTCCCAGTACAATTTCTACTACGTACAACGAAGACCAGCGTAATACTACTCCACAGCTCGCTAAAAACCTAAAATGGACTAGGAATGTACAATGGTCCTTATGCACGTTGTACAGATGTACAAAGTTCTGTATTAGGATCGTAGGTGTGTACATACCCGGTTGGGTGTTCATTGTGTGCTATACGTGCGCATTTGACCCATTTAGCCTCATAATTCATGGCAAACAATCGCTTTTCCAGCTTCTTCGCTTTAGGATTGAACTAACGACTAGCTAGATCTCTGTCGGAAAAAGGTTTCGTATGAAATGCCTTCATGGCTCATTTCACAGTGGAAATAGCAGTAAACACAATAGGGTCCTGCACATTCAACACCCAGCCGGGCCTACGGGATTCTACAAGATTCTGCGGGATTTCATGCATCTGTACAACGTGCGTAAGGCCTATAGGAGCACTACACCGCGATATGTCTCCATATCCGGAATAGCATACTTCAGGGAGCTTGTGTACTCATGGTTGTACATGGGTACACACAAAGCTGAAGCTTGTACTACAGGCACAAGTTTTCGTGGTGACAAGTTTACAAAACAACTCAACTACGAAAGGTCAGTTCGATATGTCATGTATATTTTGTCAAATAGGACAGACAAATTAATTTTCGACAATACACTCAAACGCCTCTTATCTGGACGCCTCAGATACGGGCAAGTCTCTCTACCGGGCACCTTCAGCTTGAGTTCCTATAGCACAAATGCTTCGAATTTGGGGGTTTTGAACTTTTTTCCGTATGAGGAAGTGCTCATTTTTCACTGCCAACCTATGTAATCCACACATTTTTATCAATGGGTTCCTTTTGTATCCTGAACATGTGCAATACGTTCCAAATAAACTTCTTCAAAAATGATATGATACATGGTAGATGAGTTATCCTGAGATACGGGCATATCTGAGATACGGGCAGTGCCCGGTCCCAAGGTGCCCGGATAAGAGACGTCCGAGTGTACCAGAAAGCAGGTTTACCCGAAATACTACAAGTACACAACGAGTACATTTACAAAATAAGTTGACTCGTCACGGTTATCAGCAGTGCCTTGGAAAAATATGCCTGAGAGACTTCTGGTAAGTTGTAGCACATTGCTCAATGAGTCAATATGCGAAGATTTCACTGTAGCCATCCACGATATCCGTACATCGTTACAACACGCTCAAAACGGACTAAGGGCAACACCAATCACGGAAAGGAATCAAAATTATCCGAATTCTCGGGCAAGTCCATCTTCAGTGATTGGTGTAGGCCACAGGCTGTTTGGAGAGTGTTGAGAGGATGTATTGTTAAGAGTTCTAGCAACAGTAGTAAAAACACGCACCTGCTTTAGACCTTGCTGGGTCAGGGCGGAGCATTCCAGGTACTTCGTGCCGTTGATCTCCTTCAACAACTGCAGGCCCTGGGGGTATGTGATTGGCGCGCGCTTCTTTTCCTGAAGCTTGTCGATTGTCTCCTTGTCGTCTCTCAAATCGAGCTTAGTACCGACGAGGATAATGGGGACATTGGGACAGTGATGTGACACTTCTGGATACCACTGCAACGTGCCGGACAAACATACGTAAAGAAGAAGAGAGAGAGAGAGAGACAGAGAGCATGAATAGAAGCAGAGGTACAGTTAAGGTCATGACCAACCAGGCATACACAGTTACAGGGAAGGGCGCAGCGTGATACAAATCAGCCAAAACAGAGAGAACGGGATGTGAAGCCATTCTTGTAACTGAAATCCAACACTTGCATTTTAGACGTTAAAATGAATCATAGGAAGTAGTGAGCATGCATCCACTGTCCATGCTTTGGAGGGGGGGGGGGGGGGGGTGCTGTAGGTGCCTGCTCGGGCTGGTGCAGTAAGTGTGCACACAGCTTCTGGGGTATTATTTCAGTTGCCACCTCTGTACTACAAGTCTATACGCAGGCAGGGCACCCCGGGAAAATGCTGTACTCGGCGGAATTCTAGCTCTCTTGGAACCCGACAGCATGGTACAATATTGCTGCATGCAATAGCTAAAGTCAAGTAACAGGTGCGTCGTAATGCAAGTCCCACAAAAAGCACTGTACACCCCCCCCCCCCCCACACCCATTCCTTCTGACGATGGATTCAAAGTTGCTCCCCACCCTTCAACTCATGCGTATATAAACCCACGGAATGGTACATCCGGGGCTTTCCTACAAGACATTCACGGTTCGCCAAAATGCGACCACTTTCGAGTGAATAATGGCACATCACATTGCCATGACAAACGACAATCAATCGCAGCAATATACCATGCTTGCTTTTGGAATAGCAACCGTTCTACTATCTTCCCTTTCTGTGTATGATGGCGATAGAGGCACGTCGTATGTTAGATTGAACCTCTGTTGGTGGCAGTGTGTTCGTGTCAAGCAAGGATTCTAACTTGGAGCTTTAAATAAGGCGTACAGTGAAGGAGCCGTTGCGACTAGCAGCTCCATGCGGTGTTACTTTGTCATGTTGTGAGGGATAATGAGTGCAATAGCTGCCTGGCTGTGAGGTGCCTAACATAGAGATTCAGCATGGCAATTACAATAATTGTTTGATTTGCAATTTTTGCAAAAAAAGACAGGGTAGTGCAGCAGTTTGTGTAGCAGTGTGTCCAGTATATTCAACACAATCTCTCACTCTCTCTCCCTCCCTGTGCTGTTACAAGTGCATGGCGATTGACGTCACGTGTTCTTACCTTTCCCTTCACATTTTCATACGATGCTGGGCTGATAATACTGAAGCAAATTAAAAATACATCCTGCAGTCAGGCAGACAAAAGCACAACAGACGCACCAGCCAGGGTCAGACGTCTATCGTGACTAACCCACCGTCCACTCCGTAATACAAGCATGAATGGGATGTAACAACAGACTATGCGTGGGTGCTGAAACAGACTTCGAGGGGACCGTTGGTTTTTTCTTCGCGATTCTTCGCGATAGCTGATCAGAGCGAGGACTAAGATTAGTGAGGTGGACTTTGAACCCCACTAAATGTTACTCCTCTCGCTGAATGTGGCAGTCTTGGTTATTGTCCCTCTGGCTAATGTGCAGCTTGAGAAACAAGCAGAGCCAGAGACCGGAATAAGACACGGAAGACGGAACAAGTTTTTTGAAAACCATTGGCTTCAAATCCGTTTACGCGCAAACAGGAAACTTCATTGCAGGGTCCAGCAAGCACGAAGTCACTCCCACGAAGTCACTTCTAGACAATCCGGTCAGCGGGGGTTCATCGCCGCTGGGCCTTGTCGAATCCCAGCAGCTTGGTATCGCTGCAGACGTCTATCAAAGTCCATCCAGATTCGCCTCGATGTCAGAAAGGCGGGCTCGTACTGCCGTACCAAAACACATACGAAAGCAAAGTTCCTGCTGCTGACCAGCAACAACCAGAGAATCGTACCAAGAAGACACCAACATGAATAGCCTTGCTGCATTGAGCACGGCGTGCCTAAACAATTATTCAAGACTTACTGTCTGAGGGTAAGAGAGGGGTCGGAGACGGTCGTAATCTTCCTGACCTGTACAGCAACGCATTGAACGATCACGCAAAAGCCCCAGATTACGACTTGGAAGCAGGAGCAAATGCATGAACAGCGTGTACATCAGAATGCAGAGGACACTCCCTAAGAAATTAGAGCCGCTTCAGCACCCCAAAGTTCCACTCTGGGTGCAATTCTAGAGGAAGCTGGTTTGTCACTTACCAGCCGTATCCCACAATCCAAGATTGATGGGTTTGCCATCTACCATAACATTGGCAGAGTAGTTGTCGAAACTGGAGGAAAACCAAGCCAACACGACAAACACACGGACAGATTTGCTTCTATGCCGTGCGCGGCCCTTTGCACCTCCTCGTCCGCAGCACTACAAAGCCGGAACGAGAGCACGAAGCGGCTGCAACTCTCTCGGCCACGGAAATCCGTAAACGGGAAAAGCGAGAAGGCAATCCACGAGCCTCGCCGGACCAAAAACTTACACTGTTGGAATGTACTCGCCGGGGAAAGCATTGGTGGTGTAGCTGATCAGCAGGCAAGTTTTTCCGACAGCACTGTATACCACAAAAGGCAAGGGGGCAAAAGGCTCGATCAGCCTAAACCGCACGGGCAAGAAAGAAGATCGCAGCCCGCCACTCCGCGGGAACTGCTCCAAGTCTCTGGGCTTACCCGTCCCCGACAACGACGCATTTAATCGCCTGCATGATTGGCTCTCGGAGACTAGCTCTCACCCGGAAGAACTGTAAATCACAAAGAGCTCTCCAATCTCTTCCTCATCCAACAAGAAGCTAAATCAGATCCTGTCAACTTGCGCGCCACTGACCGACTCTGATCACGTACAGAATCAGGTGAGGGGGAAAAATATGGCGACTTGCAAGATCTGAGATATGTACAAGTTTAAGCTTCACGCATTGAACATGCCGAACATAGCGCATGCGCGTCATCGATGCGGATGTAGCCGTTGTTGAGGCGCGGTGCTTGGGATTTGAAGTCTTGGCAAGCTTTCACGTTTCAGTTGTGCAGTTGTGATTCGAAGTCTTGGCAAGCTTTCAGTTGCAGTTGTGTTCGGCAGTGTGTCTCGGATGAGGTGTCACTTGGCAACTGTGTGTTTTGCAGCCCCGATTCCCTGTGTTGAGTATATTTTCCGAAGAGGCGTCCGTGCGGGTGTCCCATTGCAACAACAGGAGTCTTCGAAGAACTTCTTCACCTTCGTCTTCCGAATACTAGTAATGACAATCAGCCAAGCTTTGAAACCTAGCTCGTTTGTTTCTAAACTAACTTGGTCTTGCACCTGGTCACAAGAGCGTGTATAAACATACCGGTGTAAATGTGTTGTTGCCAGCGGTTATTCGGGCAGCAGATCTGGTATTTTGCAACATTCTTCGACTGTCCAGGCCAGTGGAGTGCTCTTCGAATGGATTACATGAATTTATGAGTGCATTTCATTCGAAAATTATACGCTGCTCCCGTCAAGGTGCCAGGTGGCCCATTGGCAGTGTGCTCAACGAGGAATCATCTTCAAATTTTCTTTTTGTTGGTCTTGGATATTGCGTGCATGTTGACCTGGTTTTCGGCCACGTTACTACTGGTCAGCTAGGGACGACATGCATGTAATTATTTACCGGTATGTGCAGTGATTCGTGTCTTTACAAAGTAGTACAGCATAGCAGCAAGAGTACTCATGGTAGTAGTGTGTCTGATTGCATGGCGCTCCGGTTGGCACCGTTGCTGAAGAGCGGACTCCTTGGAGAGCTGGGAGATCGCGAGGTCGTGGAAATGCAGTCAGGTTATCTCGGTGCTGTTTGTGGTCGGGCAAGAAAGTAGACTTCATCTTTTATGGGCCATGGTGAAAGCTAAAATCCTGGTGTGGCGGTCATGGATTTACGAGTATCCAGCAAGACACTACCGGTATGTCTATGAGCTCCAGTAAACATGATAGTCATTGAAAAGCGTAAATAGCTAATGCCCAGTAATGGCATAATCATCAGGTAGGCTATATAAGGGAGTCGTGACATGAAGCCTGGGGAGACGACAACACCATATTAGGGAGGTTCCGGGTACAATTTTCCGTACCAGAATCCGTTTGGTCTCTACGGATTTTTTTTCGAGGCGTGCTCCATACGATTTTTCGGCACGGAGAATCCGTGGCTGGCTTTCATACGAACCATGTTTCGTATGGAGATTTTGCCGCGATATGCAGCTCGCGCAGGAAGATTTTTCGCATACAAATTAAGTAGTACGAGAAACATCGATTTTCGGCGGGAAGATTTGATTTCGGTACAAATTTTCAAAATAAAAAGGCATAGCGCGGGAATGTGACGTGTTTGCGATCGTAATGACGGCAAACACATAAGTTCCGTACTCCGCGATCCGGAACATTTCACTGCTCAAAAACGACGTATAAAAAATCCGTAGCACCTCTACGGATTTTGGCACGAAAAACCGTACTCCGGAACCTCTCTATTAGCAATAATATCATTGTTAGAATGGGGAAGGAGAAACAAGCCAGTGCAAAGTAGTGCACAAACATGTATGCATTCATGTACAGAAAAGGCAACACAGTCATGACAATTTCAAGACAGTTCAAAGGCACATAAAATATAGCTGTTTACAGTTGAGTCGCGCTCCCAGGAACATAGTACCGTAAACTCACCGTAAAGTCGCGGATAAAAGCCGGGTTTGCATACAAGCACATCGCGGATAGAAGCCTGAAAATCAAACGGGTCAAATGCATTATTATAAGTAGGGCTGAAACGATTATACCGAATAATCGAGTATTCGTTTGATAACTCTAACGATCGAGCAATCGTTTAGATTACCGATTACGATTATTTTGCGTTTTTTAAATTTGTGTCCAGAAAGTACGGTAAACCCTCGTTTTGTGAAGTTTGAATCAGTTTCCACTGGGAGTATGCAGTTGCCAGGGGTATGGTTCATATTCTGAGGTTAAATTGACTTCGAAACTGCCATGTTTCGGAGCTACCCTTTCACTAATGCAGATTTGTTGGTATTATGAAGGCATAGTTTGTGGAAACAGAGTAATGTTTGCACAGAATTATGACTCTATTTGCTAACGATTATAATCGATTACTCGATCGTTAAGCTAAAGAGTAATCGATACGTGAAAATCCACGATCGTTCCAGCCCTAATTATAAGCCTGTCGCGCGTAGAAGCCTAGCTAAGGCACTGGCTTCTATGCAAGCACGGATCGCGTAGGTTAAGAGTGCATGCGCTATGTACGGTGCATAGTAAAACTGCCGCCATACCGGTAGTTACTAGTCAGTGGTAGATCTACGCGTGTCGATGTGCATACAAGCCTGACAAAAATATCAGTGGTGCATAATTATAAGCATGGTTTGCATACAAGCCTGGTTTGCATTAAAGCCTTATGCAGAAAGCGGCTTATTTATAGGTTAGTGCATGGCAGGGAGGGCCTTATGGCTTGTTAGTGCCCGACAGGTTAGCATGAGGGCCGTAGGCCCGAGGGCTACCCTGAAGGGCACAAACAAGCCATAAGACCCTCCCTGCCATGCACTAACTATTTTAGAACGAGGTTACATGCATTATCTCACTTCCATCATGCTTGTGTACCATTATATTGGCTAGTTTGTGGTTTGTGTGCAGAGAGACTTGGTGTGGTATGAAAGAATATTTTCTTCTGGTAAGTTATGGTAACTCAGCACCACTTAGGACTACTAAAAGTAGAATAGAAGCAAATGAAATGCTGGGCTCTTATTGCGAGCTTCATTCTTATTCATAGCTTGCGGAGCTATTTAGGGGATTTGAGAGCCCCTTGTCGATACCTCTAATGACCTCGATCTTCGGTTTTTATAGGTTTCCGCAAGCTGTTGACAAAGGAAATTCGTACAGATGAAAGAATACGGGAGGCAAAAACCGTACACACTTCTGAAATGCGTAGCTTTTAGTAGTACACCGTACATTTTTAAAAAAAAAAAACAAAAAAAAAACATTTTATGCAGAGTTCATTATCTGCACCGTACTATAATGCATACAGAGAGTTGTACGCACCAGTTTAGAGTATATTCAGCGGGCTTTAAACTAATCCAAGGCCCTCGACGCGTCATCAAGAGTAGTAAAATAACGATTGAGCGGGCTTTAAACTCTGATAAGGCCCTTGGCGGGAATGTCGCTGATTGGTCGTTTCCTGGACAACGAGACAGACCTCGTTCTAAATGCTTATAAGCCCGGCTTTTATCCGCGGCTTTACGGTAGTTGCATTGTTTCCTGGTGGTGTTAGCCTGGGACGTTCCTTTTTTTCAGATGAAGTGACTGCATTCTTATAGAACATTCTAACTTCTTTAGCAACCGTAATACTGGACTATTTTGTATCCCAAATCCTGCCAGAAAAACAACACCACTGTTCTTACTACTTCTTAGGCTGCGCAACTTTACACGACAACGTTGCCAGCGGTAAACTTGGATGTGTGGACAGCCGAAACGGTGTGCTGTGCCTCATTACTGTCATGTTCGTATCCGGTTTTCGCGCGTCCACACATGCACAGATCGCTTATGATCCGAAACTTCATGTTCGTCATGTGAGGAGTGTTGTGTTATTGAGTGTTTTCAACAACTACTAGCCTATACTGTATCACTTGGCTGTGATTGGTGCTTCCATGACAACACTTGACGCATGACAAACTTTGGTGGATCCTTCGACGGTTCCTGTGTAGATGTGCGAAAACGATTCAAACGGAGACCTGCTCGGATCAGCTCGGATCTTGTAAACCGCGGCACAAAAATTGAAGAAAAAAAGAACAGTCAATCTGGCGTGTAAAAACTCTCGCACTCGCTTCTTCTTGTAGTGTCGGCACTTCTCCCCTCCATGTTTGGCATAGATTCCAATTTCCTGTAGTGGAGAGCGAGTGAGAATTCAACACTAAGGCGAAACTGTTCGGCGGACTGACAACGGCTGCGGATCTGACTCTCGTGACCGCAAAGTTGTGGGACTGGAAGTGACATGAAGCAGTTTATTATTGCCTTTTGTATTTGTCTTTTTTTGTTACATTTTTCAAGTTGCATTGTTTTTGCCTACTGCCGTGGCTGGCTATCGCCCCCCCCCCTCCCCCCCCCCATTCCTCCATATTGGCCTATATTCCCTGGACACGGGAAGGTGAAATAAATAAACTCCGTGTACGCAGGGGCGTAGGAGGGGTTTTGGAAATGGTAAGACCGAAGGTCGGTGCGGCCGAAGGCCGTGGAGGAGGGGGGTCCGGGGACCTCCCCGCGTGAAAATTTTGTAAAAAGACACAAAATCCTGCGTTCTGGGAACTTCTGGCACACTTCTGGCGCAGTGTGCAGTCGAGTCGAGTACAGTACTCAGTATGACTGCAGATGCATGGCAGATCTACGAGTCTAGAAAAAGGTCAAAGTCTGATGCGCATATACGCATCGATGGATCCTGATTTTTTATTACGGTTTTGCACATTTCGGACGGACCACACTTTTCGAAAAGTGGTACGGCTATGGTCGTACCGGGTGCTACGCCCCTGGTACGTGTGTCGAATTGCAGGATAGCCTCCGGTTGCGCAGGATAGGGCATGCTATTATGGAGCAGGCAATGCCACAAACACATTGCTGAAGCAGCCTAGTGTAGCGTTGTCGAACCATAGCAGACAAAGAAGTCCTCACGAAAGGCGCTAGGCCTGCTTGTGCAGCATCAGTCGTCACGTCACATGAAGCTTGATCGGATGGCATGTGAGCCAGCTAGCTGGACGATCCCTTTTCAGCAGCAAGGTCAAGGGCATGCTTCATGCTGCAGTCGCCTCGTTGGCCGACATTCTGCACCCGCTGCTCGGCAGCCCTCCTGGCACTGAGATCTGCGAGCCTACTTGCTGACAGTTGGTCTTTGACCACTATGTGGTGGGTCTGATCTCCTCACCTCCCACTGCCTAGGAGTTAAATGCGATTTCATCCATAGAGGGTGGGGCCGGGCGTTTCCGCGGATGCGGCTCGGCTTCCAGCCGGGTCTAACACGAACTTGGCTGTGATTATTTTGCTGGCACAGTAACAGGTGCTGTCGCCAATCACATGCTCTCCATTGAAGATTCTTGGGCAAGAATGTTTCAGTGCAACAAGCGGAGCAGTCACTTGCATGGAATACTGAAACTGACCAGGAGCAAGTGACACCGGTGAAGCCAGACCGCCCAGTCTGCCATGGCGACACGGCAGAGCTAGGCTCTCTCTCTCCAGCCAAGCCCCGGGGTAGGCGCGGTCTAACAGGGTGGGGGGGGGGGGGGGGAGGGAGAGTTGGGACATAACTTGCTCGACAATCGGCAATACCTCTTCTTCTGCACCGGGCATGGTACAGTGCTGGCAACTGAAGTCCGACCCCCTTGGCGGCGCGGCGCGCCGCCAAGGGGGTCGGATTTCAGTTGCCTGCACTGTAGATCTGAGGGGCACTGGCGTCATTTGCACACCACTCCTGTAGGGGAGCCACTCGCCGCCGTATCAAATGCATCAGGGAAACCGTGCCCAGCGCCGCCATGATTGGCACGAACGGTTTTCTTGTGACGTTCTTCAGGGAATAACGTCACCGATCAGTAACATTTTAAGAGTACATGTTCCTGGTCAGTGACGTCACTATTCCCTGAAGAACGTCGCAAGAGAACATTCTGGCCTGGATTCATAACTACCGGTAACTTTTTTTTTTTTTTGAACTTTGTTTTACTTCGCAAAATCCACTTCAAGTGGTATAACATACTGTGACACTGTGTAGTATCCCTGCCCGACCAATACGGAAGCAGTACGGAACTAATACGGAACGACCTTATGTTGTATCTCCGCATATAAGCGTACGGCGCCTGCTGCATAAAAGCAGCTGCGTTTTTCTGTTTTAATAAGATTAGATTAGATAGCAACGAAAGCTAACTCGAAGAAGAAGTAGGCAACCTCTAGGTGAGCACCGGAGAGAAAGTTATTTATTTTGCCGCTTCTTCTTTCACTAATAATTATATCTCAGGTGTGTACCTGAAAGTAGAATAAAAGTAATTCTTGTTGATTTCACCGTGCCTACCACTCGGCTACCCATTTGTCATGTCCTGGACATGGACCATAATGTATGTAGTGCGCATGCTCGCACAGGAGCTTGGTCTTTTTCGGATATGGAGTTTGAGATGAACTGAAATCTGTAATGGCCTCGAGTGTGTGTGTGATCGTGCGGGATGAGTCCGAGTAGAACCCACCTGGGGTAGGACACAACAACTGGCGACGAAGATATGGCTCGGATATCATCGCTTCAGCCGTTTACCGGCGGCGACTTTGAAGAGTTTGAGGAAAGACTTGAATTCTATTTCTTTGCCAATGATATTGGAACCGTGGCTGCTTCGGCCAATGCTGCAGACAAGTTGGCTGCCAGCAAGAAAAGGAAGGCTGTATTAGTGAGTTTGCTGTCTGCGGAAGTCTACTCGATTTTGAGGAGCCTCTGTCTGCCAGCGAAAGTAGCTGACAAGAAACTGTCGGAGATTTGCGATCTTTTGAGGAAGTATTTTCAACCTGCAATTTCGCAAGTTTCGGCGACGTTCAATTTCCATCAGTTGAAGCAGAAGGAAAATGAGTCGACTGCGGATTTCATCATTCGTCTGAAGAGATTGGCTGTGAGGTGTGAGTTTGCTGATCACCTCGATCGAGCGCTTCGAGACCAGTTTATTGCTGGCTTGAGCAGCTCATCCACTCGAAATTTCTTATTGACGAAAGAAGATACTTCGGCACAGTCGTTCAATGACATCGTCAAACTAGCTTTGACGCAGGAATCGGCTGCGCGCGCGGCCGTGCAGCTGACCTCTCAGCAGGAAGTGCACAAGGTGAATCACCGGCCAGTGGAATCGCGTTCGCAGGCGCAGTCTGGTGTTTCTCGTCAATCTCATCAATCTCGAGAGCAGAGATTGTGCTACCGCTGTGGGTCTACTCAACACTTGGCGGATAAGTGCAAACACAAGGCCACTGAGTGTCGTCACTGCCACAGGAAGGGGCACTTGGAGCGTGTTTGCCGGCAGAAATCTACGTCAGGTGCGTCGGTGCACAATGTTGTGACTGATGACGCAGGTGAGCATGAATCTGCTGATCTTGAGTGCATGCCAATGTTCCACATTTCGGATCAGGGCGAATTGAAGAGCAAATCTGTTCCCTCCTACAAATTGGAAATTGCTGTGAATGATGTTCCTGTTGTAATGGAAATCGACACAGGCAGTGGCATTTCAATCATTTCTGTCCATGATTTTGAGTCACTTGGGGTGTCTCGTACAAATTTAACCAAACCGAGTGTACGCATGACCGGTTTTTCTGGGGCAGAAATCAAATGTATTGGTGAAGGGAAGTTCAATGTCAGCATTGATGGTGTGGAGAAACCAACACTACTCCGTGTGGTGGATAATGGTGGTCCGTCATTGTTGGGCAGGGATATGTTGTCCCAATTTACTCTACCGTGGAAACAGATTGTCAATGTCAATCATGTTCAAATGGATGGTAGGAGGAGAGCTCTCATTGAGGAATTTGAGGAGCTATTCGATACGACTCAGGTTGGCAAGCTGAGGTCGGCTCAAATCACCCTGAGAGTGGATGATTCTGATCCAATTTTCCACAAGGCGCGTCCCGTACCGTTCTCTATCACGGAGAAGTACGAGGAGGCTTTGGAGAAATTGGAAGCAGAGGGAGTTATTCGCAAAGTTGAGCACTCCAAATGGGCATCGCCTACTGTGCCAGTACTGAAATCGGATGGTAGTATCCGAATTTGTGCTGATTACTCTCGCTCAATCAATGCCAAGTCTGATTTGGAGCACTACCCGCTACCTACTATTGAGGAAATGTTAGCGAAATTGTCGGGGGGAGATAAATTCACCAAATTGGATCTCTCCCAAGCCTATCACCAACTGGAGCTTGATCCAGCTTCTCGGCCGTACACGACAATCTCTACTCACAAGGGGTTGTATGAATACGTGAGATTGCCGTTTGGCATTCACTCGGCAGTGGCAATTTTCCAACGCACAATGGAATCCATATTGGCAGATCTGCCTGGGTGCATCGTCTATGTGGATGACATCCTGATTACTGGGAAGGATGAGGATGAACACCACAACAACCTGATCAGGGTACTACGTCGCCTACAGGAGGCCGGGATGAAGCTTAATCCCGGTAAGTTTCATTTCATGATGGATGAGATTTCCTACCTGGGTCACACGATTTCTAGTGCTGGTGTGGCTCCTACAGCGGATAAGATTGAGGCAATGCGGGACGCTAAGGCTCCTTCGAATGTTAACGAGCTTCAATCATTCATTGGAACGGCGAATTTCTTGCGACGGTTCATACCTCATTTCGCAACAATAATGGTACCTCTGTACAATCTGGTGAAGAAATCTGCTGAATGGCAATGGGACCCCGGAATTTCAGTGCGGCCAAGCTGTCCTGGCTTTGAATTTCGGCAAAGGAGGAGATAAGTGGGCCCCAGCCGTGGTCACGGCTGTTCTCAGTCCGATGACGTATCAGATACAAGTCGGTGATGCAATGTGGAAACGCCATCGCAACCAGCTCCTTTCTCGGCAAATCCCTCAGTTCGATGCAGGGGTGTCTGAGCAGAGTGGAGCAAGTTTAACAGCTCAGGTTCCGTCACAGCTGTCACTCAGCAACAACGACGCCAGTGTCACGGCAGCGGAGCTAGGCGCGCCGGTCTCAGCAACAACCGGTACGAGTGAGTCTGCGTCGGTTAGCACTTCACGTGCCAGCTACAGCAAGACGTCGTCACCGCAAGCTGAACGACGGTCGACCCGCGCTACTGTTCGACCAGTTCGTTTCAAGGATTGACGTTCAGAACACACAGTTCATATAGACCTATTCTAGTCTGTAGAGTTTAAATGATATATTTTGGACTCTGCTGGATATTGTATATAATTATAATTTATGGTGTATATAATGGGGTATAGTGTATCATGAAATATTATGTCTCGGCAGTTTTGAGTTTTGAGATTGCATGTTGATATGTTTACTATTGCATAGTTCTAGATGCTTCGCCTCAACTAGTGAGGGGGAAATTGTCATGTCCTGGACATGGACCATAATGTATGTAGTGCGCATGCTCGCACAGGAGCTTGGTCTTTTTCGGATATGGAGTTTGAGATGAACTGAAATCTGTAATGGCCTCGAGTGTGTGTGTGATCGTGCGGGATGAGTCCGAGTAGAACCCCGATTGGTGGCAGCGGTGTAGTTTTAAATAGAACAACGTGATTCGACCCCAGACCCCCATGGCTCAACCCGCTGCAGCTCCCTGCGACGAATCAAGATGAGAATAATGTTTCTTGCCTTCCTGGGCTTGGCCCTTCTTATTAGCCTGCAGCACAGTCAGGGTGCTAGCGTGGATCACCCTTCTTTCCGCACGGCACTCACTGGACACTCCGATGGCGATTCCAAGCGACCCTCTACCTATACTACCTGTGGTGATGGCGAAGCTGATGAGGACGACAAAAGGCAGGCTGCTGCCCAAGACAAGGAGGGTATTCCCCAAGACCAGCAGTGTTTGATTTTCGCCGGCACGCAGGAGCCCACTCTTCACTTGGTACTTCGCCTTCGTGGTGGGAAGCAGATTTTCATCACCACTCTTCCTGGCTAGACCAACACTCTTCCTGGCTAGACCATCACTCTTTACGTCGCGCAAAGCGATGCTATCGACAATGTGAAGACCACGATTCAAGACGAGGAGGGAGGTCATTTGTCTGACGCCGAGCTAGCCGCTCTGAGTGACCGGCTCAACCGAGATGAAGATAAAACCTGGCTTGACCTCCGCCATAGCTCCAGCCGCCGCCGTGGTTACTAACGCTGATTCCAGGTATGGCATTTTCTTTCCTGTCTTCCTTCAGTCGCCCTGTTCTCTTCAGTCTTCCTTTATGCGAGTGTGTGAATCCAGTTTAGTTTGGTAGGCGTCTGATCATGGTGAGCCACGGCTTACCCAGCTAACCTGGGACAATGTGTGTGACAACGCCCCTTATAGTTATAGTGTATTCAGTTCGGTTTTTGAACTGCGATGATCCTGGCGGGTTGTGCCAGCGTTGTGCAGCAAGAGTGCTGTGGTTTTTCAGGTCCTATTTGGAGGACAGTTCTTTCCCCTTTTGACCCCGTGAGATCGTGTGAACCTGGTGTGCTTCTACTTTATGATTTGTTATCAGTTCATTTCTTCTGTCTACTCTAAACGTTATCATTTCCGATATAATTTGCCATCTTCCGGTTGACGCTGTGTTCGTAACACTTCACTAATTTTGTGAAAATCACGAGGGCGTGATTATCTGTAGGAAGGGAGGGTGAGGTATCCCTGCCCGACCAATACGGAAGCAGTACGGAACTAATACGGAACGACCTTATGTTGTATCTCCGCATATAAGCGTACGGCGCCTGCTGCATAAAAGCAGCTGCGTTTTTCTGTTTTAATAAGATTAGATTAGATAGCAACGAAAGCTAACTCGAAGAAGAAGTAGGCAACCTCTAGGTGAGCACCGGAGAGAAAGTTATTTATTTTGCCGCTTCTTCTTTCACTAATAATTATATCTCAGGTGTGTACCTGAAAGTAGAATAAAAGTAATTCTTGTTGATTTCACCGCGCCTACCACTCGGCTACCTGTTACAACTGTACGTCTAATGTCTGCCTCGCTGTTTCTTCTCATTGTTTTTAATAGTAAAGATCTTGTCTCTGCGCTACTTTGCATTTGTAGTGAGACAAGAGAGGTGAATTGACAGTCGTCTGTAGAGGAGCGTGAACGGAGTGTCCTTGTGCCATCTCCGACTCCCTGATGCAGTGCTGGGATAGCTTGATAGGCCTACATGTACACCGGGGGCTACAGCAGATCTTTCGACGAGTTTTGTTCCATACTGCCAGTGCCATAGGCATAGCTTATCCAACAAGAGTTCGTACCGGTATCCCTGGCCCTGGGCCCTGGGGGGTTATACACTCTTGCTATCCAAGCTACAGTATGCAGTATGCGCTGTCTGTGTGTGTGCCCGACTGTGTGGCTAGCTAATGATAACTTATTGCACTTCTGCACTTACGCATAATGCCAATGGACTCTTGATAATGCCTTAATGACGTACAACCTGTATCAGATCATGACGCAACCACTGCATCATCACAACCTGACACACGTCATCATCAATGACATGATCATGAATCCAGGGAGCCGGGCCCGGCCTTTGGCTTTGTAGCCCTGGCCCTGGCCTAGCCTGGTGAGATCGGATCATGGAGTCATGGAAACAAAATGGTGGCCGGATTTTGGGTGAATCTTGCGCCAAACAGCCAGAGTACATGTCACACTCACAGGCAAGCCAGCCAGAACTTTGCTTCATCGCGTCGGTTCAAAAGGCACTGAAGCCCTTGTCTAATGGTTCTCATGAAGTCTTGTAGTCTCGGGCGGTGGTGGGTGAATGAATTACTAGAAGAAGGCAGCAGGTACTGGGGTTATGAGTGATGGCGAAAGAAGGCTGGCTGGAGCTGGAAAGCGACCCAGGTGCGGATCGTGGAGGCTTCTCTGATCTCCGTGTCTGAATTCGAAAATTATTTTGTTCTCAGCGAATTCTCAGTGCGAGTGCTAGTGTGTAGCTTTTTTCGTGATGATTTGTGCTTGCGTGCAATGTTCTGCTTGCTGCATGCAGGAGTCTTCACGCTGCTGGTGAAAGCTCTCGGTACGTATAACTCCGCTGTTGTGCGGTTTGGCGTATGCCCAAAGCCAGCGACGTGACAGGCAATGTTGTTATTGTTCTCTGCTCTGATCTTGTACTGCAAAGGTGTGGAAGGTGTCCAGGTGGAGGAGATCTACGATCTGGGCACGGAGTTGCAGGAGTACGTAGCCGTGTTGTGATGTGTGTTCGTCCTGTCCTCGATGTGCACAGTCTGAGATCAGTACTCTGTCCAGTTGTTGCTTGAGCCTGAAAATGTAGTGAAATAGTCCTCACGCAGGCACTATCGTAATGATCAGGTGCTGTCGGGTCGTCCTGGAGTAGATCGTGTGTTTGAGCTGTGTTTGAGCGACTGTCACAATCACATGAACGCGTGCTTGGAGCTGTGGTGATCTGCAATCACGTAGGAATCATCGGAATGTATTAGATTATTGTGTCTATACTGTACACACGATACTGTCTGTGTACAGTCGTGCTGCAGTATGATTCCGCTATCCCTGGAATTTAGAGGTGCACCGAGTTTGAGTTGGTGTGATCCAGTAATTACTCCAGTTCAGCCCATCTTAGATACTGACCAGTCTCCATTTTGACATCAATATGACTATGAGCCAGTTCTACATCCCATGTAGAGTATCAGGGCATATAATACTACCACCTCTAGCCACTGCAGTGCAGGCTGATGAAGCCAGTCTCCAGATTGACATCACCCTCCTGTGTATGAGTCCGTTCTATACCCCATGTAGAGTATCAGGGCATCCTACCACTAGCCACTGTACAGCGCAGGCTGATAAAATTCCCCTCATGAAAAAGCAGCAGCAGCGTGGAGTATTCATTGTGCTAGGACAGCACATCACCCGGCGCTACCTTCTTCACCACGGTGAATACATGTATCGCCGCGCAGTTCCGTTCCAGTATATGCAAGCCTTGCCTGATAGCAAGAGTACATAACCCCCCAGAGTGTGCAACGCCAGATCCAGCTCTGCATAGGGTCTTGGTTGAGCGTAGTCGGATCTTCTGATGTCATGCGTACACTTCACACCAGCGCAAGGCCGGTCTCGAGGCAGGGCACCGTTGTTCTTGATCCAATAGTACCCGCGACTCCCCGGGTTCCCCTCAGATGTGTACGGTATTATGACGCAAAGATCCGATTACGCTCGACCAAGACCCTATGCAGAGCTGGATCAGGCCTTGCACACTCTGGGGGGTTATGTACTCTTGCTGATAGGTAACGTGTTTTCGCGGTGACGGCATGAACACGGCGACCGGTTTATGATTGTAGTCGGGAGCACTGTTTCCCAGACAGTGTGTCCTCGCCTTGTTCACGCTGTCACCGTGAAAACAAGTTCCGTACCACCAGTACCACTGCTGCAATGTTAACCCGGAGATTTGAGCCACCTCACAGCAATGTGGGCGTACATATACATATGTCGTTATAATTTCGGAATACAAGCCGCACTTCTATACACTGGTAATTCACCCCAAAAAAGTCAGTACGGCTTATACTACGATGGTCAAATTAGCGGTGATAAACAGGGATGATGTCTGTATTTCGTGACTAGAAATCTGGGTGCGGCTGATACTCCGGAAAATATGGTATGTGCGTGCGCGTGCGTTTTGTTTGTGCAGACATGTGTACGGCTTCATCTTCCTGTTTGCCTGGAGCGATGACCGCAGGGCGCGGCGGCGATACAGTGCCATCCCGGACGAAATGCTGATCCGTGACCCGGAGCGGCTGCGGCGAATGTTCTTTGCGCGGCAGGTGGGTAGGGTGGTGTGTGTGTGCGTGTGTGTCCACGTGTGTGTGCACGTGTGTGTGTGCACGTGTGTATTTCTACTGCAAACACCAGAATGCCGCTTTACTTTAAAGGGGAACTATTTTTTTGTTGCCTTACGTTGCAGTGTTTGTGCGGCTGTTCGCGATTGACAACTTTGTTTTCTTCTGAAGTGACTATGCCGGTCGCCAGGCAAAGTGACGACAGAGAGACATGTGTTGGGCAAGTCGAGCGTTTCGTCCCGCCGTATGTTGCGACAATTTTGAACCACTGCGCTTGAAGTTCGAGCAAACATTTATCTCAGAAGAGAATGAAATCGGCGAGATTAACAAGCATGAGCCAACAAATGCATTTGTGGCAGTTCATTTACCATACTAACCCGTTGTCTGGAGAAATAACATTGGCCAATGTTTTTTTGCAGGTTTAGCCTTTTCTGCATAATCATATGGAATGCGTGGTTCTTTTTCTGATCTGTTTATCAGATTATCACCAATTCCTGTGCAACTCATGCATTGCTGAGTGTCATGCTCAACACCAAGAGTCCCACGGTGGCTCTAGGACCAACCTTGACAACCTTCAAGGATGACACCCGAGACTTGGATGCCGAGGTACGCTATTAACACCCTTGTTTTGGTGCTTTGTGTGTGTGTGTGTGTGTGTGTGTGTGTGTGTGTGTGTGTGTGTGTGTGTGCTTTGTGTGTGTGTGTGTGTGTGTGTGTGTGTGTGGGTATGTGTGTGTGCGTGCTTATGTGTGTTTGTGTGTGTGTGTGTGTTTGTGTGTATGTGTGTGTGTGTGTGTAGTAAATCATGTGTGCTGATGTCAATTGCTCTCTTCTCTCTGTCTTGCTCTGGTACCATGACTAGCCACGTATGCAGATCCGTGCACTTGCCCTCTGCTCTCACCACCACACTCTGCTCTCACCACCACACTCTGCTCTCACCACCACACTCTGCTCTCACCACCACACTCTGCTCTCACCGCCACACTCTGTCACACAAGACATAGAGTACACGGTAGTGGTCATTTACGATTGTGCTCGGTGATACTGAGTATCCGACCCAAAGTGCATATTTGGTGTCCTCGACTTGCACGGCCCTTGACACCCTGGAAGTGGTACGAATGCGGCTGGACGTACACATGTACAAATACAATGATGTAATCGGAACTGGTCCAGGGCGTCAGTTTTGCACTTTGGGTTGGATTTCAGTGAGCGCAACTGTAGTTGTTGAGCATGAAATACTGACTATCGGAAAGGAATTGGGAAAATTGAACTCTGCTTCCATTCCCGTACACTGGTGGTCATTCCGAAGCCCTTCAAGCTGAATGGTGCAATCCCAGTGCGAGCTGGTCCGCTGAGCATAGCGTATTCATTATCATTGCTTCGGTGTGTTTTTGTGTGTGTGTGTGTATGCGTGTGTGTGCATGCGTGTGTGTGCATGCGTGTGTGTATCTGTATGCCTGCCCGCCCTTCTGTTTGTTAGCTGAAAGGCTTCTCGATTGGCAACGTTCCTCAGTTGTCTGAAGCTCATAACAAGCACTCAAGGTTGGTTCTGCTGTAGGGGAGTACATATTTGTTTGCGATATCTTCATTTCAGAGTGATTCGGAACACCCTTGTTTTGAATTGTGTTTGGTAAGTTGAGAAATGATGTGGTGGTTCTTCAATCTTTGTCCACTGCAGTACCTGTATGCATGTGCATGCCTTGCTGAAAGCTTGGCGTTCTTTGGCTATAGGAATGTTTCTGGGGTTTTCTTCTTAGCTAGAGTCTATACCGCGTTACCGGGAGAGCGCCCCACTACCACCCCCACGCCTTTCGTGATCGTGTTTTGGAGGTGGTGTCCTGTCTGTAGGTCATGCCGTGCATATCGTGTACTGTAAGACCAGTAATGTTAACGAACATTTAATTCCCGTAGCTATGCAGAAGACGTTACTTCAGTAACGTCTGGCGCTAGCCAGGGTCCACACAGCTTTAATTTGGTGTTTGTTTGTGTGTTTGTTTGTTTGTGTCACGCCTGGCGCTATCCGTATCTGACGGCAAAAAAACATAGGATGTTATAAATTTTCAATTCTCCAATTTTTTTTCAGGCATATCCTGGGATTCGAACCCGCACTATCGCCCTACATGCATTCCCCCATACACTTCGCATTCATACCCATTCTTCCAAGTTGCTTCACGTTATTATCTTGCGTTTGAAAGCCCTATTTGAATATTGCGGGCAGCTGTATGTGGCCAGCTGTGTTTGATGGTACGGTACGGTACGGGAGACGGTGTCGGATTACCCTCGATCGTACCTGTCCCGTACCTATCCCCTACCGTACCGTGCCATCAAAGACGGCTGGCCACAATGCATATTCAAATAGGGCTTTCAAATGCAAGATCACAATGTAAAACAACTTGGAAGAATTAGGCGGTGTTTACATGAGGCGTTTCAACCCGGGTCAGATTTCAACCCGCCATGTGCATAAAATTAATGGCGCGTTTACATGACGCATTGTGCTTGACCCGGGTTGAAATTTCGCCCCGGGTTGATTTCAACCCTCCCCCCAAGGGGAGGGTTGAAATCAACCCGGGTCAAGAAAATCGTACAAACGTACTTCTGTGCGTATCTCGCGCCAGGTTTGAACGGCACTGCACATGCAAATTTCGCGCGAACGGATTCACGTGACCATACAGGACTGTAGAAGTGGACTTTTGGCGGCATATCAGTATTTGACCCGGGTCAACTGTCTTCATGTAAACTCTCACCTCTTTTTTCTATCGTACAGACTTTCAACCCGGGCTGAACTCGACCCGGGTTGAAATTTCTCATGTAAACACAGCCTTAGTATGTATGCGAAGTGTATCGGGGGATGCATGCAGGGCGCGCCATAGTGCGGGTTCGAATCCCAGGTTATGTCTAAAAAAAGGATTTTTTTAAAGAATTTATAACATCCCCATGCTTTTTTTTGTCTAGGTCATCAAGGCAAAAAAGCATAGCGTAGGGCCCTGAGCTTCCAAGCTCTCTCGTTTTAACGAGTTCACGCATTTGAAAGAATCGTAAACCTTTGAAGTCGTTACGTGCAAAACGATATGTACATGTACAGTCATTTGCTGGTTTTGAGACAGAATTCATAAGAATTTCACCTCGCGAACCCACAAAAATCCGGAGATTTAATTGACGTTAAAATATCTGGTCTTACAGTACACGCATTACCTGTTGTGCAGTCAATCTGTACACCGTTTACCTTGGAGCGGATGCCAGCTCCACACGAGACATGCCCAGTGTGACTGTTGTTCCCACACCGCGCAAACTTAGTTGCACTCTGCCGTGCGAGTTTCCTTTCTCTGGCTGTAAAATCAAGGTGGGGTACTCTCGCGGGACGGGGCGCTCTCTCGGCACTTTACCGGTGCACGTGCTTGAGTTCAGGCTGAAGTCCAACGTATTTTTCTCTCATCTACGAGAAATTTTAGCTAATTTTGTCTTGTGCCCGATGTGTGTATTGTGTGTGCTTGCGCGCACGCGTGGGTGTGTGGTGGTGGTGTTGTTGTGGTTGTTGTTTTTGTGGCTGTTGTTGCTGTTCTTGTTACAGGCCCGAGCCAATCAGTACAACGCGGGCCGAGAATAACGGTGCATTTCGAAGCCGGTCAGAGGCTGAGCAGTACCATTACATTAGCTTTGTGCCGATTGAGGGCCGGCTTGTGGAGCTGGATGGCCTGAAAGCTAACCCCATTGATCATGGTAAGTCACTGTAGGTAACGGGGGGGGGGGGGGGGGGGTGACATTACATTTACAGTGGGACGTATGCATCGTTAGGCCAGTCACTAGACACGGTCAGCATTTTACTGCTCATGCTAAATCCAACAGTACTCGTATGCGGCAACCGAAATACCGTCGGTTTGCTATCATTTCGACGATGGAAAGCTCTGTTTAGCTGGAGAACGAAACGGCAAGATTCCAACCAGGGTGACGTCACAAGTCGATCGTTGCGTCGGAAACCGCAGTACACGCCGACGGTCGAAGTTAGCGTGAACGGCAAAATGCTAACGTTTAGTATCTACTACAACCGTACGCACCCTGATGCCGGCCGGCTCTGCATAACAGTTCATGATATTTGTAAGGTCATGCTCACCAGTTTAATCTACTAGAACGGGTTGTGCTTGCCAAGCATGGGGCACTTTTTCGTGCAAAAAGTTGATGGCCGTCTTCGATGCATACCTCCCGTCCGGATCTCACTTGATTGTGCCCCCACCCTCCCCTCCCACCACCACGAGCACACCACAAACAACAACAACAGCTTTCACAGTTTCCGAATGTCCAGTGCCGGGTCTGGTCTAGCGGCGCTTGTGTGTTTGAAGAGTGTGTCCCGTTCTTTGACGACTGCTTTGCGTTGCAGGACCTATCCCTGCGGGTCAGAACTGGACGACAAAGTTCTTTTCCGTGTTGAGGGCGCGGTTAGCAACCAAGTAAGTGACAATCTCCACCCTGGCTTAACACCAGGCGTAACCTAGTACGGTATCAAGAGTAATAATAAGTATATAATAACCCCCCCCACAAGAGTGTGCAACTCCTGATCCCCTTTCTATGGGGTACGCCGACGGTGAAAACTCACATCACGTGGTGCAGTGTCCCAGTTGTACGTTTCCAGCCCGGTTCTAGCAAGCAGCGGAGTAATAATAAAAGCACTCCGTGGCAGAAACTCACTGCGCGTATGCAACTCGTCTGCATAATCGTGGCAGATTTTCGGATTGCGCGTACGCTTTCCTTAGTTGTACGTAGTACAAAAAATACCTGAGACACGCGATGTGAGTTTTCACCGTCGGGGACCCCATCTCACACCGTAGCGCAGAGAGCTTTACTACGGTAAACTACCGGTACGTCCACTTTCCTGGTTTCAAAATCTATTCTGGCGGCCACTAGCTACAAACTACTAGTAGCTCGTAGTGATGAATAGGGACCTTTCGCATTTGCTACGAAACAAATGCGAAACGAAAGTTTGATTCGGCTCGTAATCGTTTCGTTGAAAACAGATTTCAGGTTTCGCAAGTCGTCATGCAAATGTGCATGGCAACTACGAATACGGCCGCGTGCGCCGGTAGTTTGGCGTACGGGTTTTTACACGCACACGTGCATGGATCATGGAATCAAGGGAAAAATGTGTACCTTGCAAAACATGTGTACCTATCCAAATAAATGTGTACCTGACGGATTCGGAGCTTGCCACGAATGAAGAGGCTTCCATTCGTGAAAACGAGTTCTCCGCAGGGACTCTGACGAATCCTCGAACCCAGGTGACGAATCAGCATTCGTTTCGTATCCGTACGCGGGGTGCGAAAGGTCCCTATTATGGTGTGTATTTGTGTGTGTGTGTGTGTGTGCGTGTGTGCGTGTGTGTGATGTGTGTGTGTGTGATGTGTGTGTGGGAAGAAAGACCAAAAATAGGGATTCACTGGCCAGAAAAAGTCACTTCGTAGCTGTATGGTGTAGACCAGGCTGAATAGTGACGGTCAATTCTTCAGCCTTGCAAGCTGTTGAATGGTGCAATCCCAGCACAAGTTGCTATGGCTTCTGCCGTAGCATTGCTATCATCGCCGCTGGCGATCGGCGTCAAAAGGTGTGTGTGTGTGTGTCTTCTTTCCTTGCATGGTGACAGTAAGGGTGAGGGGAGTCAGGACATTCGTTATAACCTCCTTGCGGTGGTGGATGACCGCATTGATATGTGCAATCGCAAGCTACACAAACTGGAAGCTGAGAAGTAAGTGTGTGTCGGGGTTTTTTATTGAGGGGGGGGGGGGGGGGCATGGGTGCCACCGACTGCATAGCCAACTATTATTCCACTAATTGAACATAAGTTCTTGGAGCTTGCAATCCTCAATCGCAGTTTAACGTAAATTTCATTTTTGATGGGTCACCATACGGCGTGACCGTGTCCAGATCTGCATGCGTACAATGAGTGCCGCTTTGCTCGTGGCAGGGCCTTTGGCGATACGATTGTGCCAGATCCAGTTCTTCTCTGTGGCAGGTGGACTAATTGCTATGTGTTCCGTCTTCTTCTTTTCCGCTGCTGCTTGTGGTGCTGCTTGTGTGTGTGTGTGCGTGTGTGTGCTTGTGCTTGTGCTACTTGCCATTCAGGGAGGCACTGCTGGCCATTGTGGAACAGGTAGGTGATGTGTGTTCTCATCTCTTGTACGAGCTAGGCCAATGGTCTGGGGGAGAAGGCATCAGTGACTGTTTATGTCTGGTCATTTCTGTATGTTCGGTAGTGAAACACCAAAACTTGATTTTAGATTAGACGTAACCTGCGCTAGCGCGTGCATTGTATGTTTGATGTGTACTCCATAATTATACTTCGCTATCCATTACCTTTACATTACCTCTCTCTCTCTCTCTCTCTCTCTCTCTCTCTCTCTCTCTCTCTCTTCTCTCTCTCTCTCTCTCTCTCTCTCTCTCTCTCTCTCTCTCTCTCTCTTGCTCTGGTTCGTTGTTCCTGCAGACATTCTGTTCGCTGGTTGCTAGCCCTGTTGCCACTCCGCTGGAGTCCCCGTCATCGCCAGTACACCAGCACATCGACATAGCATCCACCGTCACCAGCAGCGAGGAGGTGCGCTCACAGGCGGTGGCGCCAGGCTCTCCCGACATGCGCCCCTTGTCGCCGGCCACGGAAGGCCTCGTTCCCGAGCCCATGCAGCCTCTGCATGAGACGCACGACCAGCCCGTCTGCGGCTCCACGGCGTCTAGCTTCGCCCCCGCGTCCGATATCTCTCTGGAAACGCAAAGTATCGCGGCTACAGCCCTTAGCCTGCACACCGGACGGCCGTTGCCGCGCGCACTAGCAACCAGGTCTAACTTACAAGCATCATCGTCAACGTTATCAGGATCGTCGTTGTCACTAGCGTCGACCGTCAGCGCTGCTTCAACTAGCGTGAGTAACAACCCTGCACCACCGTGGCCTGGGTCGTCTGCTGCTGCAGAGACTGGCGTGGCGGATTCACACGGCAAGCTACTATCGCCCAACATGCCCGGATACAACCTTTCTCCGCCGCTCGCGCCCACCACCACCGCCGCCGCTACCACTTCCGGCGTTGACCCGGTCAAGGTGAGCGCCGCGCTCTATTCGTCGTTAAGCTGCGCCCAAGCAGCCACACACGTCGCTGCCTCCACTAGTGCAGCTCTGGAGGCTGCCCGAGCTCCGAGCGGCGAGCCAGTGTTGAGCACCGCGCCGGCGGCGTCTACGACGGTGTCACTGCCTGACGCTCCGGCACTTCTGCAGCTTGCCGAGCTAGCCCCGTCGCCGATGCACGGCAGCCCGGTGCGTGCCGGCTCTGCTCTCGACTGCATCGTCGCCACGGCAGCAGCGACGACGGTCGCGGGCTGCAGTGACGTGCCGATGGAGGAGTCCGACACGGGCGGCCTGCACCACCGCATGGGTATAGCTACGCTGGATTCAGAAGGCGGTGGTGCGGCGTCGGATAGCGCACCCCTGCCCAACCTGCCCTACGGTAGCGTGCACACGCCTAGAGTCAGCGTCACGCGCTCATCCACTCCGGAAGTGCTCGCCTCCTCGCTGTCGCACGCAATGCTGCAGGAAATGGCAGCCAGAGGCGGTGGCGATGCTGCTGCTGCCGGTAGCGACGAGGAGATGGATATAGACAAGGAGAACGCCGGCGTCGGTGGTGGCGGCAGGGACATTCTGACGTCCAGTTGTGCCGCGCTGGCCACCTCTCTGTCTGCGTACAGCGGTGGCGAAACTGCGGCATTATCAACGCCCTTTCCTGCCAGTGGTACTGCTACTCCGGGCGGCGGTTTGCACTTTGACGACGCACGGCATGCTGCGGATGTCACGCGTGCTGCGCATGTCCTCGTGTCTGTGCTGCGTCGTGGAGGACCAGAATCGACGGAGCAGTTGCCGCAGGGGGCGGCAATGCTGGAGCATGCCGTGGCGCCGCTGCGTCGCGACGATCCCGACACTACCATGCGTGTCACTGTGAGTGCTGCATGTACTTCTGATCTCTGGGTCCGTATGTGTGTGTGTGTGTGTGTGTGTGTGTGTGCGGCGCTGTAGTCTTGCTAGAATGAGATCCGCTATCATTGCTATAGGGCTGTGTTTACATGAGAAATTTCAGCCCGGGTTGAAAATCTGTACGATAGACAAAAATAGGTGAGCGTTTACATGAAGACAGGTGACCAGGGTCAAATACTGATATGCCGCCAAAAGTCCACTTCTAGAGTCCTGTATGGTCACATGAATCCGTTCGCGCGAAATGTGCATGTGCAGTGCTGTTCAAACCTGGCGCAAGATACGCACAGAAGTGCGTTTGTACGATTATCAACCCGGGGCGAAATTTCAACCCGGGTCAAACGCAATGCGTCATGTAAACGTGCCATTTTATTTTGTGTACATGGCGGGTTGAAATCTGACCCGGGTTGAAACTCCTCCTATAAACACAGCCGGAGAGAAAATCTGTGGTTGCACATCCTGTGGTTGCACATCCAGTGCTTTTGCAGATTTGCGTGCTTCTCTTGCGACTGGCGTATACATGGTACCAAGAGTACATAACCCCCCAGAGTGTGCAACGCCTGATCCAGCTCTGCATAGGGTCTTGGTCGAGCGGAATCGGATCTTTGCGTCATAATACCGTACACATCTGAGGGGAACCCGGGGAGTCGCGGGTACTCTTGGATCAAAAACAATGGTGCCCTGCCTCGAGACCGGCCTTGCGCTGGTGTGAAGTGTACGCATGACATCAGAAGATCCGATTCCGCTCGACCAAGACCCTACACAGAGCTGGATCGGCGTTGCACACTCTGGGGGGTTATGTACTCTTGATGGTACATGACATGGGTGTGTATGTTTGTGTGTGGTATGTTAGCCCAAACATCAATGTCTCTACAAAGGAGACAAAAAAATGGTAAGATACCGCGAAGTAAGCGGCATAGCCTTAACCATGTGTTGTAAGTTGAATGTCCGAAGACATTTCTCGTCCTTATCGAGGGAGATGCTAACCTTCTCTCGGCTCATACAACACAGAGGTTATTACTGTGCACTGTGGTTTATATACCTCTCGACGACCATGCAGTGGCAGTCATCGCCAAACATGTTCTGCGTACTACTTTCAGTCTTTCTTCACCTACGCTTGCCTTCTGTTGTTCTTGTAAGGGAGCTACAGACACATGCAGAGTCCGGCTTGGTTTCCATGCCGTTGCCGTCTTGGTTGCTATGGTAACGGTGACCATAGTGCCCTTTGGCAGTGCTCATGGTGATCGAGTGTAGGTTACGTGTTGTGCCGTATGCTATGCCGGGACAGGTGTGGGCTTTACCCAGGGGGCCCTTTCCACAGCAACACTTGTGACGGCAGCCGCTATTGAAAATTTAAAAGTCGTGTTTGTGTCCATGTCCACTTGTTGTTGGCCTGCGCAGGATATATTCAAGAAGGTGGGAGAAATGGACACGGAAATATCTGCCTGCCGAAAACTGCTGTCTGATGAAGAGGACAAGCGTCAGCAATATCGAGTGAGTCCACGCTGGCCAAGTTCTGTTGTAGTCCACATTATTTCCTAAATGTCGACATGTATGTGCGCCCCTGTGTGTGTGTGTGTCTGCGTGTCTGCATGCGTTATTGAGTCATTTCTGTGTACCTTTGCGCTTGTCGTCTTTCCTCCAGATCGATCACAGTCGCCGCACCCACAACTACGGCCCGTTCATCTCCACATTCCTCGTCATGCTAGCCAAGGAAGGCTTGCTGAAGCAGATCATTGAAACCGAACACCCTGCGCGCGCACAACCGAAACAGCGCACAGCCAGTGTCACAACTCCAGCTGCCGGTGGTAAGTGATATACAGCTTGAGAACTCGAGAGGGAAATTTTACTTTCAGCTTATGTCCCATCCCGGTGAAGTCTCGCAACCACTGTCTCAAGTGCTGAATACCCAGTAAGCCGTATTCAGGTACCCCTTGTGCCTGCCAAAAAGGTTCCAAGTTGACTGTGGGTAGCAGCCCGGCTGGAAAGCGCGCTCCCAACACGTAGAGTTCGGCATGTGTGTTGCTCGGCGTCGTTGTAACTTGTAACCACATTATTTATTCCTCCATCGTCTCCTTTCTCTGCTAGGCTCTGCCCAGACGACCAGCAAACGGGGTCGGAAGAAGGCGCCACCAAAGGAGACAGCAGCAGCATCATCATCAGCTACACCCGCAACACCTGCAGCACCGGCCAGGCGAGGACGACCAGGCCGCCCACCCGGCTCTAAGACAAAGAAGAAAAAAGGCGTTACGGTGGCGGCGGCATCGTCGTCATCACTGCTGTCGATGGATTACAATGACGATGATGGTGCGCTTGGCTGAACGATGATGCAGTGTGTGTGTAGTGTTGAGTTAGCAGTCTACGCTGTCCCATTGGGTACTTTGATAACCCTCCCTCTCCCCTGCCCTCCTCTGTACCTTCGGGCACTGCTGGACCTGCACTATCGTGTGTAGTGCTGTGTGTTGAGATAGCAGCAGTCTACACTGTCCCACTGGGTGCTTTGACCGACCCCCCACCCCACACCACCCTCCCGTGCACATTCAGGCGCTGCTGGACTAGCGCTTAATAGCCGTGCGTGCTGGTTCACAGCTCGGCTCACTTTGTCTCGTTCTGGTCCCGTGCATCGTGTGGCTTGTCAGCCACTGCCCACCGCCACCGCATTGGTGCGTCTCCTGTCCCGGATCCCACACACATGATGGCGATGAATAGCGTACATGCGGCGGCGCAGTGCACTGTTCCTAGGACCTCTTGTTTATTGTTGATGATGTATACCGCCGGTAGAACATATGCCGGCGGCGTGCTGTACAGCCACTGAACTATGGAGCACACCGAAACGCCGTCTGAGCAGTTGTGTGCGCAAATACATGCTGTTGCTTCTCACTCTATTCTCTGCTGCAACCATTGCACGCAGCGGTTGGCAACTCGACATTAGAACGTAGAGCAGGTACATGTATGTATATGCATGCAGCAGACTGTGTAACTTCAGGCGTACGCGTGAGAGTACTTGGACGTGTAGGCCCTATTGTCGCGCCATCTTGTCCGGCTTCACACCCATGCCCGTTCTTGACGCGTGACCTAGCGTTTATTGATGGCGCAGCCGTTAACCGCAGCTTGCTGCCTGTTCTCCAGGTCGCCGTGCAGTTGCTTTCAACCGACAGTCTGCCGCCTTGACTATTATATTAAATTTTGTAACTTCTGTACACGCAACGCATGGCTCCGATGAGCCACCTCATGCTGGGCTCGAGCGGCATGTCGTCGCAAGATTGCATTGTAGCTGTTCGCCGGAATGAAGAATTCTACTGTCACTCCTCGTAGGCCAGGTTCCAAGTGCTGTTGTGCAGAAATCTAGTACGTTCTTAGCTCGTCGTTCAGCGTGATATGAGTAGGGGAGTGACCTGCATATGGTCACCGATGTAGAGCCAGTTAGATAACCACCGTTGCTACTGGTGCCACTCAAACCCTGTTTATATATTTTTTGATGCTCTGCGCGGTCCATGCGTCGGTTGTGTTTGGCTCATTTGCTGCTGCTATTCCACACTTTGCCGACTAAGAGAGTGTATTATGATGTAGAACACAGCACATCATCGATCATGTTGCATTCAGCGCTCTGTGTTGATATCTCTCTGTTCACTCATCCAAACAATCTTTCTCGTTTTCTTACTCTTTGTGCACACACAACTCCCCCCGCATGCACACACCCTCATCTTTCTAATGCTCTATCTACTAGTACATGCCATCGGTCTCTCTCTATCTCTCTCTCTCTCTCTCTCTCTCTCTCTCTCTCTCTCTCTCTCTCTCTCTCTCTCTCTCTCTCTCTCTCTCTCTCTCTCTCTCTCTCTCTCTCTCCTATCTCTTTCTCTCTCCCTATCTCTCTCTCTCTCTTTCTTTCACTCTCTCTCTCTCTCTCCCTATCTATCTCTTCTCTCTTCTCCCTATCTCTTTCTCTCTCTCTCTCTCTCTCTCTCTCTCTCTCTCTCTCTCTCTCTCTCTCTCTCTCTCTCTCTCTATCTCTCTCTCTATCTCTCTCTTTATCTCTCTCTGTCTCTCTCCCTATCTCTGCCGTGTGACCAGTAGGTATGCCACTGGCTGTCTGTGCACACTCACACTCACCCATACTTGGTTTGCTTATCCCGATGCTGTTAGTTTCTTGCTCCCACCCACTGCTGTTTTGGCATATGGCTGCCCACTTTTTCCATGCAGCCGCCCCACCGAGAATATATCCGTGCCGTTCGCCAGAGCGCATTCGATTACGTGCAACTTTAGCAGAGCTGCACTTGTGCGCAAACACTTATCACAGTCGCCGTGTTTCCGTGTTCGTCTTTCAAGTACCGTCCAGTTCGGACTGTTCCTATGGTGCGGTGTTTCATCGTCTTTCTTTTTTTGGGTTTTTTTAGCGACTCATGATTATCATTTAGGAGTGCATTCTATGTTGCCCAGACTCTATTGTGTATCTTGTTTTTTAATCTGAATCATCTTAACAACAACCACCTGATCCAGAGTCCTGTGCAAGTTTATTTCGTTATCACTGGAGAGAGAAGAAGTCCTCCGTCTGAACCCGAGCTAGCATGGCCTATGATTCGTAGTACGGTATGAGTGCAGTGTGTATGCATGCACCGTGCATGGTCAGCCAAGAGAGATCTGTCCTGCGTGCTGTTGCCACTGGGGAGTGTCAGCATTCCATGGCAGAATAGGCCTTATGCACATTGTACAGATGCACGAAATCCCGTATAATCTTGTAGAATCCCGTAGACCCGGTTGGGTGTTGAATGTGCAGGACCCTATTGTGTTTACTGCTATTTCCACTATGAAATGGGCCATGAAGGCATTTCATACGAAATCTTTTTCCGGCAGAGATCTAGCTAGTCGTTAGTTCAATCCCAAAGTGAAGAAGGCTTGAAAAGTGATCGTTTGCCATGAATTGTGAGGCTAAATGGGTCAAACGCGCATGTATAGCACACAATGAACACCCAACCGGGTATGTACACACCTACGGCCATAGTACAGAACTTCGTACATCTGTACAATGTGCATAAGGACTATTATGCAGAAGTCTGTCCCCGGGGAAAATTGCGATTTTGCGGCTGTTTTTTTTGCGATTTTTTAAAAGGCCGCGTTTTCCGCGATTTTTGAACTTTTTTGTTGCACTGTTCGGTCAGCAACGTCTCATCGTGGCGGCTTTTTACTCAAATATGACGAGTGCTTACACCAGAGACTTGTAACTGATTGATTTCACTACATACTCACTGAAAATTGCCGCACATCAATCTTATTCACCGCAAATTCACCGCAAATTATGCCATATTATGCCGCGTTTTTTTCCGCCATTTTCCCCGGGGACAGAGAAGTCACACAAGCCATCTCTCGCAGCTGAGAAAAATTCACGGTTCGCGACTGGGCTGGAGGCCGAGTTTTCCGCATCCGTAGGAACGCCACCACCCGCTAAGATAAAGGCGCAGATGCAGCTCCTAAGCGGTGGGAGGTAAGTACCTGAAAAAAGCAAATTAAGCATAATTGAGCATACAAGGTTAGAATCCCCACAACCGCAACGAAAATCCTGGACCAAAAACGAAACTCCAAAGTCCAAGAAGTTTAAAAGTCATGATCAGGTTGGTTTAGCTATGGAGTAGGATCTCCAGAAAAGCTGACAACAAAGATTCTGCCATGGGCCAAATGGCTGGCTATCGCCCCCCTCCCTCCATATTGGCCTCTATTTCCTGTCCACGGGAAAGTGAAATAAATAAATAAACAATCGACATCCACCCCCCCCCCCCCCCCCCCCCCCGGGCCCCCACAGGAGTAGCAAGGAGGATGAGTTAACACAAGGTCAAGTGGGTATTACATGTACTGGTACAGTACTTGCATGATTGTCTATGTACACATCAACATAGCGGGATTCTATGTACAAGTGAAGGGGTTCTATGTACCTGGTATGTACAAGTGAAGGGGTTCTATGTACACGTAGCGGGGTTCTATGTACCTATGTGAAAGTGGCGGGGTTCTATGTACAAGTACTATTAATATTATAACGTTATACCTTCGACTAAACAAACAACAACACCTGGATATGTGTGTGCGTGTGTGTGCATGCATGCGCATGTGTGTGTGAGAGAGGGGGGGGGGGGGGGTATGTACACGTGTGTGTGTGTGCACACATCATGCAAGTGCATTGCACTAGTGTGTCTGAGAAGAGGCACCAGAGCCAGCTGCGTGCCGTCTGAACTAAAACTGATTATGAAACAACACGACGAGGAGGCGACGGCTAGTTGCTAGTCTTACGCACGGCACACGATAGTGTGTTCCGTTGTACTTGGTGGACTCGCATGCAAGCCTCGCTGGCCGCCTTCACCGCGTCTATACACCGATCCGTGTGCGTCTGCCCGGTCTGCTCTAGTGCCACCACCTCCCCGCTGGTTGGCATAATAGCAAGGGTCATTGCCGACCATTGCGTGTTGTCCGCGGCGATAGCCTCCTCCTCCTCCTTGCGTGGGTCCACGATGCAGACGTGCGCGTCAAAGCCCACTGACACTGCCGCCACCATATCGATCATATCGATGGACGCGTCAGCCAGCGCTAGTGACGCAGCCGTCATGGCTGCTGCCAGTACTCCGCCGCCATCTTCCACCACCATGACGTGGATATCCACTTTGGCCTTGGGGAACCTCTCCAGTATCACTGCTGCCTCCATGGCCTTCGTCAGAGCGCGGGACATGTCGTTCTCCTCGCCGTCGCTTTGGTGCCCGCGCCGCCGGCGTGACGCGGATGGCGTGAACTTCACCTCGGCATTTACCTGGCCGGTGAGCTGAAAATCTCGACGGCGCACAGTATCGCGAGGGCCGTGCACAGAACAGAGCAGTTTTGTACTGCCCAGCTCCAAGTATGCAGAGCCGCTGGCCTGTGCTACTGTTCCACACTGCAGGAACATGGGACGGACTGCGTCCAGAGCTCTTCCGTCGTGGCGTGATGAATTCTCACCCAGAACACTCGCAGCTCGGACGGCCGCAAGGTCAGACTCAGGAACGAAAGGAAAGCTCTCCTCCGGCCCTATCACTCTCCGTGTATCTGATGGAGGTGGCATAGTTCAAACAAGAAGGAGATGAAATCTCCAAACCAATAAGTGAAATTGCAACTCAATAAAAATAGAGATCCGTCAGCTAGAATGTTTTTGAGAAACTAAACAAAATTTTAATGTTTCAAGCATTTTCCGCTTATCAATGGCCGTGATTCGTGACGTCATCTCACTCACTGATCCGAGCTAGCTACGTCATGCTCACGTGTACTATACAGTCTATACTACTAGCAAGAGTACTACCGTACTGGCAATATATGTTGCCGCAGTGAGGTTATGAAGCGTTACATTCGCACATGTTTGCCGCACGCAGGGCGTTACATGCAAAGTCGCACAGGAGCCGTTACACAGGTTTCTATATTGCCGCAGTCCTTTTTTTGCTATTGCCGCATCACTTTTTTGCTATTGCCGCATCATTTTTTTGCTTTTGCCGCATCATTTTTTTCTTTTCATCCACATTGAAGGCACAGAAATTCAGTTGCTATCCAACTGTTACAAACCCGACGGCAAAGGGCGACAACGATATCAATAGAAGACTGTATATTTTAACTATCAGAGTGCAAAACGACCTCGGGAAAGAAGAAACCATTGAGATCGCCAACCACTGAATGATGCGCCTTCGAGTGTCAGGACTTCCTGCTGCGTCCAGTTTTGAACTTTTCACCACGCGGTACACGTGCTTTCACAGTTTTCAGCCTTTTTTTTGCAGTGCAAACTGCAATGAAAAGATCGCCGCACCCCACCGGACGCGCGTTACGAACTCAACGAAAATTTGTCGCACTAGCCTGGTCGCGCGTTACGCCGCACCCCCCTGCGTTACGCGTTACGCGGCAACATATATTGCCAGTACGGTACATAATCCCCCGGGCCCGCGGGGGGTTATGTACTCTAGCTACTACTAGACTGTACTGTCTGTAGACGGTACATGTCATCAAGAGTACATAAAAAATATTAAAGGGGAACTCCACGAAAAAATGAAAATTTGATAGCCTGTAGAGTTTCGGGCGCTGAGTCGAATGGTCTTGGTCCGAAGTCTCTACGAGAAAGCGTTCTTGAGATACAGTCAACTTTGCTAATAACGACTGCGGATATAACGACAATTCGCGAATAACGACCGAATTTCCATGCCCAGAGCAAAGTCCCATCTAACTGTATACATTTAACTTCGGATATAACGACTATCTGAATAACGACAATTCGCGTATAGCGACATGCTTTTAGTGCCCCGAGGTCATATTCACTGCTTGAATAACGACTTTCTGGGCTTTTGACAGCTATTTCAAGTACCTGTCAGTCAAGTACATGTACATGTATATGTACCTGTCATGCACCAGAACCTATGGTGATGGATATTATTAAACACATGCAAGAAAAATGCAGCCAAGGGGGGGGGGCTTTTTCTTCCTTTTTTATGTTGGCTTCAAAATTGTTGGATTTACCAGCACACCTATACATTACTGTACAATCATGTACATGTAGTTGTACATGATTGTCCAGTAATAATCATACATGTACATGTCTCTGGCTCTGTAGATGGCTCAAAAAGGCATATTTTTCAATTGATTTCCCTTGCATATTGAATTTTTAGTTCCTTTCAACTGCAATATGAAAATAAAGTACACATTGACATAGAGCAAGAAAAGAGCTTGATTTTGATATGCATGTCATACCATACAAAATATGGGTTCACATACATTCAAATGGGACTTCGGTTATAAGGACACTTCGCGAATAAGGACACTTTTCTGATGCCCCGCCGAATGTCGTTATTGGCGAAGTTGACTGTATTTCAATTTTAGCCACGCCCCATACCAATGTATGGGTGACGTCATTGTGGCATGGTGCGAAAATACTTGGATTTTGAATCTCACTTTCTTCAGGACGAAAGTCACTTCAGAAAGTAGTTTGCCAAGTCGCCTGAGCCGCTGCAATGCCAAATTGTTGTGTTGTTGATTGTGCCAGTATCACATCATCCTCCTGGGGTTAGTTTTCTCAAATTCCCAAAGGATGGAGACCTGGCAAAGCGCCGAGATGTTGCAATGCGTCGTGAAAATTTCAAGCCTATTTTCGCAGCACGAGCTATGTTTGCTCGCTGCATTTATGATCCAGAGGGACTTGAGAGCTGAGTTTTGACGAGTACGCCGTCCAGGAAAGCCCTCATCAGTGTACCAGTGCCCTCCGAACCGTGAGCCTCCAGCAAAGCGAATTCAACAAGCTGCAACTGAGAAAGCAGGGCGAGATACGTCCCATCAGGATCAGAAGAGTACATCACCCCATCAACTCCGACTGCAGCTAGCTGATGAACGATATTACCCCAGTAACTTTGCGCATACCAGTACTCAAACTGTGCACATCTGTCATCAACTGGGACGCAAACAGACAGACCCCCAGCAAGTACGAAGGTTACAGAACTGTTTGCTTGCGATGTGCAGGCAGCATGCACGACGAACTGTCTCACCAATCCTGCCAAACTGAACCAGTGTAAGTTGATTGCGTGGATATGTCTCTATTTATAACAGCTACCCTACTTCTAGGCATGGTTGCATGAATACCATATCACTCAGAGCAGTTGTTAGAAGTCTGGACAGCCTTGGAATAGTGCAAGTAAAGTGAAACAAAAATATATTACACTCCGAGTTCCACGCTTGCGGGATCACCAGGCCAAAAAAAATCTAATTTCGAACAAGGAATGGGTTCTGGTTGTATGCGAAAGAAAAGTAAGTGAAGACCTATTGTGCAAGGAATACAGTGGGAACTACACATATTATACACATGCACTCACACCTTCACCCACATGCGCGCGCGTGCGTGTGCGTGCACACACACAAACACAACAACACACACACATACGTACCCACATACTCAAACTCACTCGCACGCACGCTAGCCTAAGGATAGTACATATGCTGTAGTAGTGGTATACTTAGTGAAATGACTATGTGTACATCTAATGACGCCGCCACTCCACGCCAGAAGACAACAAACATCTGCTGAACATTTTTGCTCCCGTCTCTTATGGGCAACACAGGGAATGAAACGAACAATGCAATTGAGAACAAGAGTCGTCCTGTACGGTGAAGTTTCCATTTTCTCATACAGCAGTATATTATTGTCTAAGCAAGTGTGTTTTCTCCACATTCTTTTTGCAATGCAGGTATATCACAGTGTCATGCCAAACTACATTCTCAAACGCATTCGTTTCTCAATTCTGGGGATGATTGGACACGCACATCTCGCAGCTCTTGACGACGTCAATGTCAACCGTCGCCACAGCACAACCAAAAAGACCGCGATAGGAAGGTATAAAGTCCAGTTCTCAAAGCATAAAGAAGACTGTGGCCAAATAGAAAATTATACGACAGAAAGAGCTATGAGTATGTTGACAAGCTCATATGTGAGGTGGTAGCGGTTGCAAATGGCAACCTCCATGTTCCTGCCTTGGAGAAGCGTGTTTCCCTGCCAAATTCCAGGTGGAAGCCTCCTGAGAAGGCTGAGGTGGTGCAGGATTTGGATATCTTTGCCTGATGGTATTCACAACGCAGGCTGGAAGACGACAACGAACGTGCTTGCCCAATTTGCCGTGTACATAGTGTGTACTGCCTGTGTGCCGCATAGCGTAGAGATCTACACAAACACAGAATGTCATATGGAATGTGTATGATGAGTGCTTGTACACATACCACATTGCTGTACCGTAATAATTATTATAGTCAAATACTCATTTACTCTACATATGCGCTGTATTGCACCTACCGGTACCTACCTGCACTTTCAGTGGGCGCGCCACACTAATTTTAGTGTCCACTGGTACAAAGATGGAGGGTCTTGTAGAATTTACCATAATTGCTGATTTCAAATTGAATTCCAATGATCTGGGGGATGAATACTGATTAGGACGCGTTCGATTACCTACTAGTACAGAGATGTCTTGGTCAGAAAGTACAGATTTCTTACTCTCCTGCCAGAATTTGTGCATTATTTTGGTGTACGCTTTCTTGACCCCACGCTTGTACGTTGCATGCCATGGTATACTAGTAAACGAGTTTATTGACAAAGTCTATCGCTTGAAACGATAAAGTATGGGTTCGTGTGTGATCAAATGCACCCATGGTGCTCATAAACTGTGTGCAGTGCTCTCTTCACCAACAGAACACTACCTACCATACTTTGTAGATCTTGTACCAATCCAAGGGAAAATGACAAAGACAAATGTGAGTCATGCATGAAAACTTGTGATAGCACGGTCTATAGTACAGAACAACGTTGTTCGTGCTATGCCTGACAACAATAATTAGTTACACACAAAACATTACGCGCATCGATCCTCACAAGATAAGTCAAGACATACTCGGAGCAAAGAGAAATTTGTTTGTGTCATGCATGAAACTTGTGATAACTACCAGTACAATGTCTTTCTTGTGCGACGCCTACTGTAGTGCGCCTGACAACAATAAATTTCCCCCAAAAAATAAGAATATGTGTATCATGCTGATACGCGATCCTCACAAGACAAGTCAAGGCAAACTAATTGAGGCTTACCTAATGTCAGACTCTTCTGTCACTGGCATTGGCGGCTTCTGCATGTCGAGATAACCTCGAAGAGCAGTGATGAGCACAGCCTAATGCAAGGATACGATCTCGTAATCTGCGAGGTCCGCTACGCAAGAAACCTTGGGCCGTCTTGTCGACAGCGACGGCAGCATCCTACCAGCAAAATCATTCCCGCGGGCTGGGCATGGCTATACACTTTTGTCCACGCTCGCACCAGTCGGAGTCCCAAACGAATCGAGATTCTGGTGGCCAAGCTACTCGTCTTCTGTCGGACGCAGCTGCTGACGCATCTTCTTCCTCCACATTTGTTACACGCGATGGCAGCTCCTCAGCAGAGTATCTGGGCTCCCTGCCCCAACCATACGCGGCGGTGGGCTGTTGGTCGTCCTCACTGGCCTCAGCATCGCTGCCTTCATTGCTGGGGACAGAGGATTGTTCGGAATCGCCCATCTTCCCTTGAAATACCAACTAAAATTAGTGCTTGTAGACGGCGAAGAGAAACGACTTTGCCACAATGACGTAGGCAGCCCGTGATGATGTAACCAAATGGCCGCATGACGTCAGGGCGCGGCCCCCGTTTTTGCAATTTCAAAGTGAAATATCTCAAGAACGCTTCGTCGTAGACTTCGGACCAAGACCATTCGACTCAGCGCCCGAAACTCTACAGGCTATCAAAGTTTCATTTTTTCGTGGAGTTCCCCTTTAATAATAATAAGTACAATGATTGAGTTGCCTATCTGCATGATCTGAGTGGGAGAAATCCTATTCCTACACTACAAAAAAGACTTCAGAAGTACATGATGTAGAGAGGTTCTGCGTGAAACGTAGAGAAATCACAGCAGGTAGACTACTCAGTACTGTCGTGTGTTTTGGGTCTACGTAGACTTACGGATCTGCAGGGCCTAGACTAGAGTAGCATTCGATCGCCATACATCACCAAATCACTCACATCAAGAGATAACCCCCCGTAGATCTACTCTTGCTCACATCGATCATCGCGATCGCGTCGCAAGGTTCTCCGAACGTCGAGCCTCGATCGGCGCGGCTCGAGGGCAAAGTGTTTGAGGTCAAAGGTCAAAGGTCGATATGCGAAATATGGAATGTTGGACGAGATGCCAGATGATCAACCCGCGACTCCAGTGCAGTGCCAGTAGATCTTGTACTTGTTGTAGTCTACTGTACTAGTAGCTGCAGCTACACAGTCTAGTCTACAGCCTGTACCTTGTGTACCGGGCAGGTTCATCCAACGATTACATACATGGCTGCATGTTACATTTATACAGGAGACGATCGCGAAGCTTGAAACGAAAAAATAATGCTATCGCTCATCGTCAAACTTTGATGATGATGAGGGATCGATGATTGCACTACTCGATCTGATGATGAAGAACAAGCTGATACTGCGGTGGTCACTGGAGTGGAGGTATTCACACGGGTCCTTCATGTGAGAGTTTGGACAGGACGACCTAGGCGGAAGGACAGGCGATCATCGGTGGTGTGCAGCAGCTGTGAAAAGAACTTCTAGAAGACCAGATCAACACAAGACAACCGGAGAGGAATTGACTTGAGTCAAACGAACATGACTGACGCCCAGCACGCGCAGCCTGAGAAAGGTCGCAGGCCAGTTCCCGCACCAAGACGGAGATCTTCCGGCATGTCGACCTCCTCTTCACTCCCCCAGTCTCCGCCAGATTCGTCTTCTAGAAGACGTGAATCGGATATCACGCCACTCCCACCCGCAAGTGCCACAACACCGACAACCGACGCGACCGAAGATCAGCTAACAGCTTTAGAATCTCAGCGAGGGTCACGGCAGTCAGGGCACAATGCCGGGAAAGTCAGCCACTCCGACTCTGTTGATTCTTTGCATTGCGTGTCATCAATAAGCCAAAGGCCCTCTCTTGCTTCGTTGAACCGAGTCATGTCTCGTCAGTCGTCCTCTGATTCGTTTTCACCACAGTTGGTGCCAGCACCCTCGTCAACATCGAGTGATGACAAACCTGCTCTGTATTCGACTGTGAACTTGAATGCTCGACGGAGGAGCCGAGGCGCTCCTGGCTCTCTTAGTTCTGCAACAGGAACGGAGCTATTCATGGTGTCAGAAAATGCGTCTTTGTTCTCGCTGCCCCAGTCGAATCTGACCAGTCTATGTGGTACTGCGGACCCTGCATCCATGATGCGTAGCGTGGACAGCTGCTCCAGCTTTTTCAGTGTCAGTGGAGGCGTTGAACGGAAAGTCGGCAACGAGTCGGTTCACATCACAGCGTCACAGGCAGGCCACGTCTTAGTGTATGCTGTGCCGGCCGGGGAGGATTTATCGAGGGATAAAAGGAACTCGGATCCCTGCGTCGGCAATACTCTGACGCCATTTTCCCAAGTCAACCATGAAAAACGAGCAAGTGTGTCATCGATCGACATGTACATTGCATCATTCACGGGTAGCATCACACCACTTGCCCTTGTACCCCATCGGTCTATTCGCGGCAAGGGAATGCTGGGGACATATCGCGGCAGAACGGCTGCAGACAAGAAAGCAACATCCGACCTACCGCCAGGAATGGTGGCAGACCTGGAGGCAGTGGCTCGAGGTACCGTGTTCATGAAAGCGCAGACCAACGAAACGCCTGGCAGCTGCAACAACAGCCACGGCATGTCCGTCAGCAAACTGGCAGGCGGCTACGACTTCCTCGACTTCCCGACGGCTCGAACCGTCACCGTTCTACGAGTCAAGCCCGACATAACAATGCCGGAGGTGTAGTGTCCCCATGGTTACCCCTCACCAGTTTTCCATGCACATTTAAGAGGTATTTTAAAGTTTATTCCTCATTATTCCTTTCAAATAGACATGTACAAACAACTCCGAACAACACATCCAATGCAAGTGACAGGTTTCCAATGCACCTCACGGGTTTCTCCGGATTGACAGGCATCGTGATATTTCTTGCATCTATTCAGTGCGCCTCACCGCATGTTCTTCCCGGTTATGCTGAAGTGTTCCACATGCGCAGTACGGCCTTGCGGCAGCTGATGCAATATTTCCACCGGGCCAGGTTTTGCCAACACGTCCCAACAGCAATGGCACTAGCTGTGCCCATCGGTACTTTGTAACGTTTTCCGAATGCCTAAGCTATTTTCCCTGCACCGTTGGTGAAACAATGAAACATTCCACGTGGCTTCTACTCCTGTTAGCCAGTCAGGATTGAGTATTTCAGACTTCTGTCGGAATTGCAGCTGCTAGTGGAATGCATATCTTTCATTTTCTTTCATGTGTCCTATTTTCAAACAAAAAGTTTACTGCTGGATATCTCTTCCTGCCCAGTCATATTATTTCACTGCAATGCGCAATGAACTCAACTTCCTTATTCCTTATAGTCGTGCAGGCTTTTGTCAAGTCAGAATTACTTCAGAATTGTTTCTAGTTCCACCAGCATAGATTGCACGGCCAAACGGTGTGGATATCTCTTCCTGCCCAGTCATATTATTTCACTGCAATGCGCAATGAACTCAACTTCCTTATTCCTTATAGTCGTGCAGGCTTTTGTCAAGTCAGAATTACTTCAGAATTGTTTCTAGTTCCACCGGCATAGATTGCATGGCCAAACGGTGTGGAGTTCTCTTCCTGCCCAGTCATATTATTTCACTGCAATGCGCAATGAACTCAACTTCCTTATTCCTTATAGTCGTGCAGGCTTTTGTCAAGTCAGAATTACTTCAGAATTGTTTCTAGTTCCACCGGCATAGATTGCACGGCCAAACGGTGTGCAACTGAATCAAAGTGGATTGCAAATTGCAATCAATGTAAAGTAGTACTTGTGCGCCATTTATACGAGGTACAGTCAGACCTCGCTTAACCGCACACATCCGTTTTCCACAAAAATATCCGGATAGGCGAGGGAACCGGATAAACGAGGACCGGATCTGCGAGGTCTGACTGTATCATATTCATCATGAACTCCCATTCAGAGCACATACCAACATATGTGCGCAGACCCAGCCATAATCAATGATAATATCATCACGTGCACAGATACTGGCACTGTAGTTCAGCTGTTGCATGACTATCGACTACAGTCATGACGCTGACCTCTCCCCAGCAATGTACAGTAGTACTTGTGCAGTGGCTATTCTGTACTTCGAAGTACGACACAATAGCTTTTCTTTCTCGTTGGAACCTGCATGCAACTTCTCCGATTCTCTTGTACTGCAACTAACTTTATACGACGAAGTATTCCATTTGCGGTGGCGTGTGTGTGTGTGTCTCCCTCCCTCCCTCCCTCCCTCCCACTGTCTCTGTCTGTTTCACTCAATCTCTTCTTTTAATTAACATTCTCGTACAGCGTGTGGTGGCGTAGTTCACGCTTTTTGCACATGCCTCCAGATCTCTGTAAGCCCATTTTAATAATAAGCACGCACACACGCACACACACGCACACGCACACACGGCTGGACACGACCTTTGGTTTCGATGTCTATTTTCATCACGGTGCTCTAGCAGTAGTTGTATGACAGTACATGGCCGACAGTATGTACAAACATGATCATAATATAGGAAGAAGGCAATCGCTAGCAGGCAATGGGAAGATACAAGAAAAAAAGAAGAGGCTACAAGAAAATATGAACAAGGTCAACACGCACCCATATGGAAGTAGACTGGAGCCTAGACTACCGGGAGAAGTAGAATCATGTACTAGGGTAGTAGGTACAGCCGGTGGGCACAGAAACGAGCGACAGAAATGAAAGAAAGAGAGAGAGAGAGAGAGAGAGAGAGAGAGAGAGAGAGAGAGAGAGAGAGAGAGAGCACAGCCTTGGTTGAATAGCGTAAATACTATGTTCTGATAAGGAGCGAAATGAGTGCGGGACGAGCTCTCTCCCCCGGCCGGTCCTTGTCGGGCAACAACAGGGTCAGACTCAGCGGCGGCGGTAGATCATAAGGAGCGCGCTAGCTCTGTTACTTCAACTGAACATCATGGCTAGCAGGGGTATAGTCCGGTATCGTCACCATCAAGTGGCAGTAACCACAGTGAGGGACGAAAACAAAGTTTGTGCAGTCACGTGCGAATGTATGGGAGTAGATTGTGGAAAATAGGAACTAAAATCATGATTACTGGCAAGAATAAAACCAGAAAAACAAACAAACTGCGGAAACTCCCCGTGGAGAGAGCTAAGAGAGAGAGACAATGATTTGACACGTTGCCAAGGCTTGAGAAAGCATACGAATAAGCAAGGAGGTCTTGTCTCAAGTACCTGAACATGCATACTCGCGCTGCCAGAGATGCATGCATGCAGTCAGTGAGTGGCAGAGAAAGCTCCACGGCGTTGAACAAGTCGCTGCAGCAAGCGTGCACGTGCACCAGAGCAGTGCGTGTCACTGTGCAGTTTTCAAGAACCACCATGCCTTATCAGCAGCAACACTAGCACAGACGTATATATACACAGACACATCGATGGCGGCAACAACGACAGATGGAGGAAATCGCACGCTTTCCAAACGCCAGTGATTCGGACGGACACTATAGCCGCCCCAATCCTGAGCGAGCGGATCAGAGAGGGAGAAAGAGAGAGAGAGAAAATGGGAGACAAGGAGAGGGACACACCACCAGCGGAGTGAGCAAGCTTCAATTCCGACGCTACACAGCGATGACGGAGAGGCCGTAGCTCAGCCAGGGAAACGTCCACGCAGATGACTCCAGTCCACCCAGCCGTGAAAGCAGGACTTGAATGTGTCGAGCTCCTTGCCCTTGCGTACAAGTTTCAGCTCTCGCTTGCGCTGCGCTGGCTTCTCTCCCCAGTAGTTAGCATAAACCTGGATGGGTAGAGAAGGAAAGGAAAGCGAGAGACAACTAAAGACACGCACGCATGCTTGAAGACTACAGCAGTCTCCCAAGCGTACATGTAAGGGGGCGTCCTAAAGGTTTTTTTGTCGTCCCTGAAACGAACATTGTTCGTTTCGTTCTCGGACCCCGTCCCCTCCCTCTGAAACAAACACAGCTTGCTATGCTGGACGACGAAAGTAGCATGAATGCACATGTACACAATGTACAGTGTTGGTTGACTTGTGATTTTGGCTCGCAACCCCCCCCCCCCCCCCCCCCCCCAACGAAAGATGTTCGTTTCAGGGACGGCAACAATTTTCGCGACGACCCTAAGTGATGAAGGTTGTAGGTTGTACTTGATACAGGGGCGTAGCCAGGATAGTGATCAAGGGGGGTGCCACGACTTTCCCCACACAAAAGACTCAGGCACTTATGTTGGTCCTTTCTTGCACATTAGTCGATCCGTGAAATGGGGAAGGGGGGGGGGGGGGAGCAAAATTCGCCCCTAATTCGACGCTGAAGATCAATCAGTGAATCATAGTGGCAAATCTCCAACCAGGGAGTAGTAATAGTTATGGTATTTTACTTTTTACTACACCCTGGCCTGCTTCCAACTAATGATGGACTAAGTCCTGGATGCTGCTTTCTCCAGAATTATCACACTCTCCATCGAACTTTCAAAGTGGGATTTCTCGAGCCATTTTTCCCCTTCGTCATGTTTGATAGTGCAGTAACACATCCTTGATCAAACCTACACTATTTCCCACAAAAAATCAAAGTGCACTTCAACATTACTTTCACTCTTCTACTGCTGTATCCACACTTGCAATGCATGAAAGAAACTTTGCCTTTCCACAACGAGACCAATTAACATCGAGAACTACATTATACAAAACGTAGCGAGAACAAACTGCTATGTCTGACGCGTGCTTTCCGGCCATAGACCGCGTTGCTACTTCCTTGCTTCTACCAATGGCGTGTTTGTATGATTCTTTGCTTCTAACAAAACATGTGGAGTGCCATACAAATCATGCGTTAAGCCTGCTGAGGCCTGATGTGACACTGCACAACGGCAGGTACGAAGCGGAGTTCCCTTGACTAGAAATTTCAATGCAAAATGGCCAATCATGAGACAAAAATTAATAGTCCACTGCATGTGGATTGGTTTCAGATACATTGTACTTGCAGGTCTGAACCAGGGAGTAATACCTACTACTCCCTGGTCTAAAACAGGGATGGCTACAGTGTGCGATGTGCAGATTTGCGCATGTGATCAGCGGGTTTGCTATGGTCTCTCTCGAACCAGCTGTGAACCAAGATCGAAATTTTTGAGGGGGGTGCTTTGGCACCCAAAGCACCCCCCCTGCCTACGCCCCTGGGATAGAGGTGACGGCCAACG